ACAGAAATGCGTTCATGGGCTACATTTAACAATTTCTAACCCCCTCTGGGTGCATAGGTTATGCACCCTCAGGTGTTAAAAACGTCATATCGCACATCACAGTAATCAACAATTGTTTTGTGATATCAAATAACTCCAAAACATAGACGGTTGTAACTTACTGTGTGAGAAATAAATTAAATCACTGCGATGTTACCTTTGATAACTGAAGGTTTTGATGTCCTGCCGGACATGAGACTGAGCGTTTGACGTTGCAGTTCTTATGCGCAAAACTAACGTGTCGGCAGGTTCCACATGCACGCGCAATGAATGCAGTGCGATATCGCCCTCAGTGTGTGACATGCATTTTTATTGTCCAGACATGTGGCCGTCCTAGACCAATGACATTACAGTATCCAAGCACACGAAATAACAATACTTGTTTAACTTAAGAGTTTTGTTAACGTCACATCGAGTGTTTTCCCTGGGTACAGTGCTGTATGCTAACTCATAGTCTTTTTTTTCACAGGTGGTGCACGAACTAGTTAAAGACCATTCTGTTCCCTCAACATGTTCTGCAAGACTCTGGACATGTTACGAGAGACGTTTCTTCTCTTCTCATAGTGACGACATCTTGCGGCTTTATGAGGTACATAGTCTTGACATCCTGTGTTTCTGTGTGAGCTGAGCACTGTGAATCTTGAGTTGTTTTTCTGGTAAACTTTGATGAGTACTAGCACAGAAAATGTATAATACTTTGTCAATGTGTTCCTTAAAAGTTGAGATAAATTTCAATTTTGTTGTCTTGATGTTGCAGCGAGCCTATGCTGAAGATACCAAAAAACTTGAGAGCACTCTGCCAACATATACTGTCCGGGATATTTTATTGGGTGACGAGTGGATTCTAAACATTCTCGGTCTGTATGCTCCCGACTTTCTGTCACCAACGTTAGAAAACCCGGTGGACACAGCTGAAGAAGGACAGTTGGCGGAAGAGTTGAATAAGGAGTTTGAGAAAGAGGACGAAGCAGGTGTAAAAATAACTGAAGCCAAGGATGTTAAGGATGATGAGACTAAATCCAGAGAGAGATTGGAATCTGGGATCAGTGTCCATGGGGATGAGAAAGTCCAAGTTATCCGAAGAGAGAAGGACCCTAGTAAGACAGACAGTCTGAGAAAGTCCCACAGAAACACTGAGATCATCGATCTGACGTGGGTCACAAGACAGGCTTCATTGTCAGAGCGATCATCTACATGGAGCAGTCTGGAACGGAAGTCTCACATGACTGCTGCTTCTGTATTTGGTGAGAGCCTCTCACTTCCAATTGACATCCCCAACACCAACAGCAATGCCAGGACCCTGTCCATCCCGATCATTAGTTCCGTCGGTGACTCGGGAGTCTCGCTTAACATCCCGACGGACGATGACGCGACTAGAGACTTGTTTGAAGCCTTGCAAGCTGGACACTCCTCTGCAGACTCCAAGGATCCACTCGACAAGTGCTGCAGGGACAACCCCAACAGCAAGGTCTTCCTGGAGAGGTTTCAGACAGCCTACAATTGCTTCCGAGTAGCACTTCAATACCCGGTGCCCATGTCTAAACTGCAGTGGCTGTTTAGTTGCATTCAGGAAGTCAACACAACTGCTGAAAAACAGTCACGACTTATATTTTGTAAGTATTACCTACTTAGTTAAAAAAAAACTAATATGATCAGGGTTCAGTGTATCCCAAATCACAAGTACAAGATCTCCAGAAGTTCTTGGACAAACTTGCAGAAAACAAATTCTCTTCACTGAGGATTCTTGACCTCAGATGACTTACTGACTGGGTAAATCCTTGCTCCTTATAGGACCCTCCTGTATCCTTCAAAATCCATCGCTAAAAAGGTTAAGCAATAGACCGATGCACTAAGCCCCGTCCATGATGCTCTGACCAATTGCAGCCGTGATTGATGTTCGACATGCGTGAACAAAAGTCCAACATGCATGTACGCTTGTACGATGCACGTAGTTTGGCATTGGGGAGGTACATGTGCTGTTGCTCACATGCACAGTGGGCGGGGCCAAATGGATCAGTCTATTGTGCATTGGCTGCACCTCCCTAAATCCTGCAAAGACCTCTGGTAGCGTGGTTTTGGAAAGTCTTAGAAAGCTAGTGGTGCAAATAGGAAGAGCAACCACAGAATCAGATGAACAGCTCAAGTTGGGAATCTTCTCATTTACTGTATTCTTGCATTTATTTGTAAGCATGCAGTTGTGAAAAATGTAAGAATACGGTAAATTAGAAGATTTCTGGCTTGAGCCATCCGTTTGATTTCGTGGTTGTTCTTCCTGTTCACACCAGTTTGAGTAAACCAATGTGCCATCTGGCTCCTGCTGAGTTAAGGATTTTTTTTTCGTTGAGGATTCAGTAAGATTCCCAGCCTAAAAAAACACAACAGCCTGAGGACTGTCTGGTTTCAAATATCCCCAAAACATGTCACTGAGAAGGAATATAGAAAGCTAATCTTGGTCTTCCCCTGTGGCCCTTGATAGGTGGGAAGAGTCGCATGATGAGCGGTGATGACCTCCTGGATGCCCTGGTACTCTTCCTTCTCCATGGCGATGTGAAGGAAGTCGCCAACGGTTACCATCACATCATGATGCTGCTGGACTACATGCCAGACTTCCTGCAGATGGGTCAGTTTGGATTCACTCTCAGCCAGTTCTTGCTTGCCTACACCCACATCCTGGACCATTATCAAGAGACTCCAGTAACAATTTGTGATCAAGCTGACACAGGGTGACCTTTGACTCATGCATATGTATATTTTGAACTATAAATAAACAGTATGCAGAGTGGACTCAAAACCAAACATAAAGCATTTCTGGGAGAAGCTGATAGATTATCTTTGGTGTGCATAATTTTGGAACTGATAACAATTATTGTACACTAAAGTGCATGTCCCTGGCATTGGTGTAGCCAAGGGTGCATATTCCCCCCCCCCCCCCCCATTAACAAAATTGTCGCCCTCCCACTGAAAATTTGTTAATCCTATAAGTGACCATGGTTAACAGGTTTAACAGAAATTGGGTGACCACTCCCACCTGTAACATCCAGCCCCCCCCCCCCCCCCATGGTGAGAACCCTTGCTATGCTGCTGATTCTTAAAAGACATGAAATCTGTGAAGAATTATGGACCGCAGTGGTGCAGTATGCGGCACATCCAAAAGTGGAGGGAAAAATGCAAAAAAAAATTCCAAAAACTTCCTGAAGCATGTTAACATGTACCACTTACTCCCATTTTATGCTCAACTTGACTCAAAGTGAATCAAGGATATGGTGCCTGTGTTCTTGGGCAAGCTATTTTACGTTAATGACTTCTCTCACCTAGAAGTAGTTGCATACCCTAGAACTTAAGAAGGCAGAGTTTTTTTTATAGCATATGGCCAATATTTGGCATTTGTAAAGAGTAAGTCCTTTCTTCCTTGAAGAATGGTTATGGGTATCTCTTGTTCTTTTTATGATATTGACTCGAGACATTTTTTCCCAATTTAGATTCCTTAAGTTTGTTTAGGAGAATAAACTGTGTCAAAAGAAATAAGAGTGTATTAAACGTGGCAAGTTAGAAAATTTATTTTCGTATTCTGCTCAAATAAATGTCACAGCCGGAGGCCTAATGAATATGTGTTGTAGGTCAGAAGACTAGTTGGTTCTCAAATGAAAACAGTGGGCAACTGTATTTACTATGGTGTGGCAGTTTTTGTTTATTCTTCATCAATAGCATGCCAGTCAGTAATGGTTGGAATAGTCGTGTTAATTATTTTGGAAACAGCGTAATTATGAGGAAGATGGTATCACTGGTCATTGCTAGCAGTAGCTGCACATGTACATGTATATCACAATTACCCGGAAACATTCCTACCAATTTTAACGAGAAAATCCTTGCTGAAAGTGAAGATAGAACTTATATCTAATACCCTGAGAATTCATTCCACCTGAAATGGTGTCATTCGGAAGAAAACAATCATTGAAGGTGGTATAAGAAAGGGTGCGTTAGCAACGAAATCCAGCGTATGTTTTCTGAGAATGTATCATATCCCGTAGCTGAAATTTCAACAAGTTAGTTGTTATGATGCACCCTTCTTAAGATTTCAGGGAACATTTGTTGCTTAAAACAGAGAAAACAAATCTCAAAATCAAGTGATCCATTTGTATCTGAGTGAATGAAAAAGTTCTCTGTTTTATATGTCCACAGTAAATCAACCGACAGATATTTAATAAAGAAAACTTAGTTTTACACATACATTATAAGCTGTAAATATTAATTAGCTTTAAAAGAAATTCTATATTTTTAATGAAGTGTGGATTACTATACATTTTATTTGTATATTTTGCTAACAAAAGTTGTTATCATGGTTGGCATGGAAACTAACTTTTAATGTACATGTTATAGTTATACATACTTCAGTGACTTAATTAACTTCTGAAATAATGTAATTTAAACGCTTAGTGGTTTGCTGGAATGTGTATTATGCTAATCATCCCTGGGACTGATTGTGAAGATTTTTTTGGGATGGAATGTGGAATGTAACTTTCTTGTGGTTATGAAAATAAACAAAATTTCTCTGGAATTGAATTTAAATGGACCAGATTTATTTATTGATTTTAGACAGCAACCGAGAATAATAGCTGATATGGTTTCAAAATGTCATATAAGGTTTTAACTGTGTTAATTTTGTTTTATATATGATTGGGACACGTTCAGCGGAAGTTAAATAAAGCCATTTTCCATACTATGGCAGCATATATGGCTTCGGCTTCATCTGTGTGAAGCTTCCAACGTCCAAAAAACATATTAAATCTGCACACACTGGCCTAAATTTGAATATGATGCATCTGCGCAACAGCGTCAAGTCAGGGGTTTAAAATCTCTTGAAGCCTCGACTGGGAACGAAGCCGTGGTTTGGGACACATCTCAAATTGCCTACAATGGGTTTAACTATTGGTGGCGCTGTTGCGATAGGTCGTCGATGTTGCTCGAGCTCCAGCCGCTAGCCGAGAATTTCACCGAAGTTCTAGTTTGGAACTACCCCGTTTTTCTTCCTCTGAAAGGTACTAGAACATTCTGCTTTGAATAACAGTGAAGTAAGAAGGGTTATGTATTGAAATTTATTTTAGCGACTAACATGACTAACCAATGGCTGGTAATGTCAGATCTTTCGTTTCGAATAATTATTTTGTTTAGATGGGATTTTGTGTACAAGATCTGCTGAAGCTGAAGTTAATGAACGACGCCATGAACAGCCGTCGGGTCAGTACATTCTGCATGGACACAGTATAGTCCATTGGCGTTGACCCGACGACTATTAGATGTCCTACTCGGCATAAATAATCAAGTAATAATCTGATTGGCTGATCGGCACAAGCGCACAATAACCCCAACATAGCTCTACTGAGTGGAGCGTTGAATTACGGGTACCCCTCCATACAAACGCTCCACCGATTTGCCATACTTTGGTGACGGCGTCACACTCACAGTAGCATAGTGTACATACCCACGCGAGGACAAAAAGACCCCCCCAAAAAACGGTAAAGAGAATACAAATGAGAGAGACAGTTACCCTGGATTGATCTACACATTCATGACAATCCATTAGACCCCTTATATTGTTCCCAAACATCGAACATTTTGGAAAAAAACAGCAAAATAGTCTGAAAACTTACAGCTCAATGTGTTTGCCGTGAGGCTCAGTCCTTGCCCCGACTTGCCGAATGAGGGCGTCTGACGTGACGTCACCGTCGTTGCTCGATATCGAAGAAAAACAAGTCGCGCTTTATCAATGACTGTTTCGTGTCATTCAATGATACGTGCTCCGATCCGCGCCGTACAACAGTATGGGCTTTGAACACACCCAAGCAATACCTGAGCCACACTAGTGGGGCTAACTGGCTCTATGCTGAGTTCCATTGCAACCTACATGTATTGAAGGAAAAGTGTAGAAAATTTAAATAGGCTAAAGACTGTTTTACAATTTTATAAAAACAAAAAACAAAACAAAAATAACTTGTTCAAACTTTTGAATGGACATTGACGTTCCAACATTTTCTATAACTCTTGATTACAATCGGCCCCATAAGGAACTCCACTTGATATTCCTTTTTCTCTGAAGGTACAATGTTTGCGGTGGCAACATGAAGTATTGTGCAGTTCCTACTTGTGGAAACAGCTCTTACATCAATTACAGAGGAAAGTCCAACAGGTGCAGTGTTCACAGCTGCAATTATGGCACTGGACCCTGCAAGTGTGAACCTCCCCTGCGATTCTTCCCATTTCCCACCAAGAAGGATCTCAAGGGTCGAGAGCGATGGACGAAGCTGATCAATCGTAAATACCCAAATGGGGAGAGCTGGCAGCCAGACCCGGCTGGACGGAGCACTGTCTGCTCAGCCCACTTCCCAGATGGACAACCCACCAAACAGAACGCAGACCCTATCCTGAAACTGGGCTATGAACCTCCCACCGACCTGATCAGACGACCTCAACCAACGCCACATAAAAAGAAGAAAACAAAGAGTGAGTTGAAACCAGTGGAAAGATGGCCTGTTCCACTCCTGACAGTCGAGCCCCAGGTAGTGCTGGCATGCCCGTATTCCACAAGTCCACATCTTCCAATCACGAACACAAGTACAACGATGACGGCTATCATCCCCCAAACCAAACCCAAGCCCCGCCCACCCAAGAGGCTATGCATTGCCTGTCAGAACATCTCAGAAAGTGGCCAGCGGGTCGTAAGTAACAGAGGTCGGCTTGACCTGCAGGAGTGCTTGAAACAGTACCTCAATCTTGAGGTGGAGCAAGGTTGGATGTGTATCAACTGCGTCAGGCAAGTCAAGACCATCGTCAAGAAAGTCAACATGTTTCGAAGTTCAGTGTTGGCTGGACAGTGCAATAGAACATATAAGGTCTCACATGTAGGGGAGGAGAATGAAGCAGTCATTACAGAGACGCAGTCTGACACAAGCAACAAGGTAGGGTTCATGTAAATTTATGATCTTATTTGGAGTTTATCAATCCTCTGTTAGTTTGGAGTTTTTCCAATCCTCAAAGCAGCCATTTCAAATTTCCAAATTTCATTTTGAGATAACTTTGAGACTCAAGATTTTATGACTTAAAGATGGCTCTGTACACACACACGTTTTTAGAGCTGTTGTATACAAATGACCAATTGCGGTGGAATTGCGTCAACACAGCTTGTGAAATACTGTTCAACAAATGGACGCAGAACGCGCAAAAGCTGAGACAAACAAAAATTAATGTACAAAACTCCATAGGGTTGCCTAAGGGGCATGGCTAACTCGCAAATGACAATAGGTCAATTACAATAACCACTGCCCTCCAATTAGCTGTTTCTATGACAGTGATTTTAGCAAAGGTACTTTTTGGTTACCACAAAAAAATTACACTATAAAGTACAGAATTTTGAATCCTTGTTAATTATGAAGCACACTGCATAATTTGCAGTCCGTTTGATGTGTCTTCTCTTTAGCATAGTGTTTAAATTAATTCCATCGCAGGTCCATCACTAGGGCACTAGTGAATCACAAGTCCTTTCACAAGTCCAGTCACAATGGACCGATCCAGTAAGCACCGCCCCATGGTATTCTGACCAATCACAGCCGTGATTTATGTCCAACATGCGTGCACAAAAGTCTGACATGCGTGCACATGCGTATGATGCGTGCCATAGGAAAATGCAGTGTGGCATTGGAGAGGAGCACGTGTTAATTTGCCCACGTGCGCAGTGGGAGGGGCTTACTGGATCGGTCCATTAACAGGAAAATGAGCATTGACAATGGAATGCCTTTGTCACAATTCATTGTGTGATGACTTGACTTGGGACTGAAGGACTTGTGATGAACTCGACCACAGCATTACAATGTACTTCAGCAGCAATCACGATCTTAACCCTAGCTCCCTACATGTAGGTCTTTTTGCGAGGATGAAGCCTCAATCCTGCAAAATCCTCCAATTGGTCTCGTGGAAAAGTAGCATATAGCCGCAATCCTGCAAACTCATCCATTATTTCTTGAATATAGTCTGTGGAGGGGTGACCACTGCCTGAATCCTGCAAAATCCTGCAGCAGTGACTGTTAATATGTTGAGGCTTGGCCAGTGACATCCTGGAGCAATACGGAGGATTTCAAGCACAATCCAGGCCTATCAATATTTATGCATGGCCGAGCAAAAAACAACACAAGGTGCATCCTACGAAATCAGAAACGCACTTTTGCCATGTAAGCTCAATCCTCCAAATTCCTCCACTTTGGCAACTTAGAGAATTTTGAAGGATTCAGGGCGGTTAGGGTTAATGAACGAGCATACAATGTAAGTATAATGTGTTTGCTGCTGCAATTTTCCATCAGTGAATTATTAAAAAAAACCACCTTTTTTCAGCATCAGACTTCGACATCGGTCTGTCAGTGTTCCAGATTGCTAACATCGATGCTTTCTAAACAAAACGTCTGTGAACCGATGGAAAAGACCAGAATCAGAGTCATCTTTCCCACACCAGCCGGAGCCGCTGCCACAGACTCAGAGAGCGAGTCAAATGAAGGTCTTCAAGATTCATCAAGCTCTGAGGAGGACGATTTTCTTGAACATCCAAGAAACAAAAAGCGCCGTACAGTTTCCAACAAGAGTAAAAAGGTTGTTGCGAAGACATCAAGGCAAGGTAACACATCATCAAGTGTGTCACTTGAAACGCAATGTGAAAATGTTGCTGAACATGATCAGCAACTGGTGAACCAAAATGAGGAAGATTGTGAAGTGCCATTGAGCTCAGGTAACACAGTGCAACCCCCTGATGCTCAGCTACGGGTCATTTTGTCTGGGCAAGTTTCAAGTGCATCAGATTTGTTGCTGACTCCAGTGACTTCGTCAAGGTGCATCCAGCCTGCACCAATCACTATCTGTGCCCAGCCTACAGTCAGTGATTCATCCACACCAATCAGTAGCCCTGGGATACCTGTAGCTATCCCAGCATCTGATGATCAAACCCATTTTGTCTTCACCAAAACTCTGAATGAGCTGGCTAAGTATGTAGCTAAGAAACCGATTCAGGAACATGATTATGCACACTGACAGAGAAAGCACGATCCATCACCTTGAATCATTCACATTTTTTTCAGATGTAACGGGGACAGGGGAACAAATGAACCCAACATTGATAGAATGACCCATTCATGTATGTGGAGTGTCCACTGAAATATGACTAAGGCTGAATCGTAAAGCTCTGTATTTCCTTAAGAATTGCTTTCTTGTAATTCGTGGATCTATTTATTTAAATTTAAATCATTTGAAAACAAGTAATGTGAATGTTGAGTTACGTATATTTTGAAATTAGTGAAGAAATATTGTAGCATTATGTGCAAATATCACTGTGGTTTCAGCTAGTGCTCAATATTGAAGCTTACTTTTGAGTTGTGGGAAATTTAACAAAAATCTAAAATTCAAACACTACTTTAAGGGCGTTACACGTACTGTATGTGTTATTTTTCAAAAGCAGATTTACATGCAAACGTGTACTTTTTCAGTGTTAAAAAGAATTTGTAATCACAATAGAGCGCCGTTGTTTTGTTTGTTTATTTTTATGAAAGTTTATCATTACGTATTTCAGTGATGCAAATGTAGTTCACATCCTGAGATATCAGAAGATGAATTTATTGAAACAAAATTTTGAAAAAATGTAATTGCCAACCTTAAGATACAGATTGTGCATTGTAGATCATATAGTCGTCGGAAGCTGATATTTTATCCTAGTATTTTTTTTTATTGTGAGGCAGGGTGAGTATGGTTTCTATACGGTTACAATCACACATAGAAAGTTGTTGGATGTCTAGATTTAATGTCAAAGAGTAAAGAAATATATGTACATGTATGCCAGCAAAAACAATTGTCTTATGAATAAAAACACTCTGGGAAAAGTGAATCTGCGGTTGGGCGGCTCAAGCATTTGCATCACATGTCGGAACAATTTATTTTCCAATTAAATCATTGTTACATTGTTACCTGTGTATGCTACCCAGTTACAATTTCGAAGGAAAACATGTACATTGTACATGTACATGAATGCATTAATGTATTCATTACTAGAAGAATAATGCTTTTCCATTTTCCAATGCTCCTGATTACTGTTCTGGGTCATATTATATTCATTCAAATAAACATTTGATGCAACCAAATTGGAAACTTGTGGCTAATACAGATTGTTCTTGTCAGTTGTTTGTAGAATTGAACATAATTAGAAACATTAATTAAAGGCATGTATGTCATGTACATGTAGGATCATTGGCAGGGTAACCTACCAAATTATTACCAAAAAGCTTACTTGGATTAAAGATCGTGCTGCCACAAAACATCTGTGGAGTTTTTCCGTCTGGCTTGCTGTCATTTGGAAGAAGTCAAGAAATGTAGGTGATTTTCAATGATCATTCAATCAAACTTGTGTTTCTGATCAAAATGAAAAGTGATTTCATTGATCATTCAATCAAACTTGTGTTTCGTGATCAAAAGGTCGTGCATAATTTTTACTGTTTTCTCAAAAAGTGCAATATCCACTGAGCTGAAACTTCAACAGGTTAGGTTTTGAACATTCTTCTTTGAATTTTGAGTTGTGTTATTAATGGAAACAATCAAAATGCATGCAAAGAAAATGATCCTACTTGTATATATGTGCCTTTGAAGTCACAAAACAACATTCAAAAGATTGTTTTTAAAAACCAGGCTGTCCTTTCAGCTGTGATAGGGGACATGATTCCCCCTCTATCCCTAGACTGTCACCCAGGCCAAATGTATTGTTGTTTTTGACTTTGAATGTACATAGCGTCTACTAGATAAAATGTTTTGCTTAATGTTTAATCACACGTGAAATGTATTTAGAAGGATTTTAAGCATAAACCCGAACAGTTTGAATCAGCTTAAGGGATTGGCTTAAGTTGGCCTACATTGTAATTGCAACAAGAGGCAAAAGGAAGGCATCCCGCCAAATGTCAAACTTTCAGCGCAACAGAGTGTCGCCATAAGAATTCTTACCCAAGTTTTTTTGCTTTTACCCAACTCGGTCATGAGTATTTTAATCTGACATAGGGCCTACTTTTGCTGCATAAAACTGAGTATTAAATACCAAAATATTGTGAGGTGGCTGGGTTAGAAGTCAAGCGTATTACCTGATGCCTACTCCACTTGGACAGAGCAGGCCAACGAGTGGTCTCTTGCTTGAGGGTAAGGTTCATTACTAGGCCTAATGGCTTTTTGAGGAGTTGTGTGAAACTTCTGCAGTCTCATTATAGTATTGTGGTGGTAATGTGATCTCACAATAGGAAATGGGTCAATGTATCAGAGTTTAGTATCAGTAATTGCTAAATTGGTAATATAAAAACAGAAATAGATATAAATTCCAGTTATACATCACAATCATTGTTTACTGATACGGCTTCCTGCACTATATCTTACCGTAATTAAAACAGTCTGAGAACAAAACATGTTTTTATCTTGTTTACAGTTAGGCCTAAACAAAGATTGTGCAGAAATGCTGATGTGGATGTTTTGAAACAGTTCTTGCTTCTGAGGTCTCGAAAGCATGTGACTTCATGAGAAACTAGCTTTTGGAGGATTCAGAATTGTTTTTGTAGCAAAATGCTAAGCACCTGTAGGATAAGGTTAGGCAGTATCGGGCAATTTGCGTAATTGTTTTTTTTTTTAACGGAGAAGATTGTATGTTGTACTTAAATGATGCATGTTGCAAATGGTAATTTGAAGTTTAACTTTTTTTGTTAAATTAGTAAATTTAAAGTTGATTTATTGGAAGCCATTGAAAGTGAATTGTGTTTCTTTTTGTTGATCCCTTGTAAATCGGAAGAAACACATGTTGCAGTAGATTAATCAATGAATCAGTAAATGCCCAATGATAATTTATTTAGGTATCTAGGCCAATAATCAAACTTGTTTCCATTAATATAACCAAATGATACGATATCTCAGAATCAAACTTGTGCAAGGCAGTATTGAAGTAATGTCAAGTCTATAAAAGAGCGGGTATTTCTGGACCTAGTTTTGAGTTCGTCATTTGTTGGTAGACCACGTTAAAGTCGGTACAATGCATACATTGGTTCTTCTGTTGTTGGTTGGCGTAGCTGCAGCTGGATTTGCTCCACTGCACAAAGTTAACGAGAGCGTCAAAGGACGTTACCTCATCAAATTCAAGTAAAAATGTGACATCACAAAATCATTTTTGTCAAACAGAAGATGTTTCAATGTGTAATAAAGCATTATGTGATTCCTATTTGTGTAGATTATGAATGTTGATTTCCCTTTTGATATTATTTCTTTTATTTCAGGGATGATTTGGACGTGGACACCATTGTTGATGACATCCAGCGCCGTGTGCAGCAGCAGCGTTTGGGCCACGCCAAGATCTCTCATCGCTACTACCGAGTCGTGAAGGGCATGGCTGCAGAGCTATCAGAGGAAGCCCTGGAATATGTGAGAATAAACATGATCTGTTTGTTTCTTGTTGCTATTTGTTATTGAATGGCCTTGTCTGAGAAGAAGTGGTATTATTGCGAAGAAGTAGAAATGGGTTTGAATTTGCCAAAAATAAAGTAAAAAAAATTCTTTTTGATTTTGTTTGAACAGTCCTCACAATATCTTCAGAGAAAAACAAGCTATATAAGTTTAAGGTATTTTAAATAAGGAAGCAGTTTATGCAAACCCCCCCCCCCCCCCACTCTGAGTCTGAGTATGAACATTTATCCATGGAGCCAAGTCTCCTGTATAACGTCTGATGTGTCTAGACATGCAGATATATGCAAGCCGTGCGCCAGCCAATCGGAGTCGACTTTACCAAATCGTGACGTCACTTCATTCCCAAATCAGGACTACTGGTTTGATTGGTCAATTTGAATGAAGTGTTTTGTAATACAACAGCAGCTGGGCACATATCGGGTAACATGGTACAGAGCGTGTGACACAGGTTTTGTTTTTATCTAGCTCTACCGAGTGGAACGCTGGAACTTCGGTACCCTCCGTACAAGCGCTCCACCGAATCGGCATACTTGGAATACACATTTAAATCAATGACACACGGTATGCAATAACCACTACCCCTACCCTCCCTTTCGCCAAAAAAGTGTGATTCTATTTTATCTCTTTGCCTTATCCCATTTTTCCAAACTCAAGATGTCATTTTATTACTCCCTGATCATCAAACTGCATGGACTAATTTTCCCAATTTTCTTGGATAGATTCGAACATTGGATGAGGTTGAGTATGTAACTGAGAACGCTCGGACACACGCAACAGCAACCTGGGGCCAGGACCGCATCGATCAGTTTGACCTACCACTAGACGGCTACTTCACAACGGACACGGCTTACAGTAAGAATAGAAGATTAGATGTCGACAAAAAATTAGAACACCATAGATCGGTTGTAAACATTGATATATCCCACTAGTTGCACTTTACTTGCCAGTTCCGTCGCCAGCTCTGGGCTTGGGGGGGGGGGGAGCACGGTATCAAGGAAAAAAACACAATTGTAGATAATTTTTACGCTAATGGTTCGTGCCTATTCATGCCAATTTCTAATGGGAATAAGTTGACTAAATGCCGATAACAAAACACATTGTAACTGAACAGAAGTGTGGCATCGATTACATGAAAATCTCAGCTCTATTGTAAATAAGCAAAACTCTACCCAAAAGTGTGACAGTCTATCCACTGTCCAGTGGACTATTTCATAGTCGTTTGTTCAGAAAAAAAATTACATGTATAAAAAAGCAAGTATACATGTATTTGTTTTTATTTTGCAGATGAAGGAGCAGGGGTTGAAATCTGGGTTGTAGATACCGGTATCCGGCCGACCCATAATGACTTTGGAAGTAGAGCGTCTGTCCAATATGATGCTTACGGTGGAAATGTGAGTATTATGTTTCTTTAATCTAATTCAAAAGGACAAATTTAGGCTATTGTGTTATTTCCCTTGCTATTTGCAATGTTGTTCTTGTTGATTTTTTTGCCTTTATTGCCCAGTTAATGTTTGTTATTATGTGCGGGTCCACATGCTTCAGATCCGCTTTTGCAGTCCCTGACCCACATATAATTCTTTTCTGTTGTGTTTAATATGTGCCTTGTTGGTTATTATTTACCTTGTAGGAAAGCCTAGCTTTCATTTAAAATGTATGCATGCCCTTAACATCATGATTATCTGTATTCTTCATTACATGTTACATGTTGTATTTTCTTTGTTGAGGTCAAATGAATCATAATGATAATAATAATAATAATTATCCTGCATTGGACATTTGGGAGACATCCCCGTAAGCAAAATTTTTCAAACTGAAATGTGCCCTAACCAAATATTCCCTTGTCCTTTTTGCACGAATTTCAGTATGTTTACTAATGAGACCACGAGCAACGAATATAATATAATTGCAACGGAAAAAAATTGCCTCTAAAGGGGGGCTGTGACATTAGGGAAATGTCTCCCTAATGACTGATGTCTCCCATCGTGCAAAAAAATTACGATAACGTGACTCCTGAGTGGTACCATTACACGTATAGTTATAATCTTCGGGAATGCTATAATAGGGCAACACACTTCCATAGACTTCTACATGAAGCTACAATGTGACCTAACCAAACTTTGCCTCATCCTACCTCCACGAATTTTGGTATATATATGATTTGAACGACGAGGAATCGATCTAGAGCACTGGCGACATCAAATTTCGTCTCCTAAGGGTTGTTCAACAATAGGGTGACACCAAATTGTCACCCCAATGAGGTGTGTCGCCCTGTTATAACAATATTAAGTAAAAACTAAGTAAGATTTGAGGCTTTACATGGTGGAGATACTAAATAATGAAAGGTTTGCAGAAACACCATGTGTGAATAATTTCTCAACTAAGAGAATGGTTTTGAAAAGAACCAGAGATATAAACTCAACGTTCCGGTCAGTATGCTCTAACCGTCTTCAGGAGAGTGCCTAAACTCTAAAAAAGTGAATACTTAAGTAGCAAAAGGCGAAATCAATGAAGTGTGAAGTTGCATCCTGTGAGGATGCCAAGTAGACGGGATCCTAGAGCAAGCTTGGTGCCCACTGAAGTGGAACAGTTTTGTGTGCAAATGCATATGCGGGTGTGCGCTTTGCGCGTATTAAGTCCCAAGCGCATCGTAGTGCTACAGAGCTGGGTTCAAACATTGCGTGAAGGTGTAGTTTGGAAAAGTGCAAGTAAACTTTTACCGATTTTTGTATTCAATTTGAAGTACATTTAAATTGTATTTGGATTAAACTATTCCATTATTATCACGTAAAAGCAAGCAGAATCAGTGGGAGAGGTGTTATAAAACAAATATTGACTGCTTTGGGTGGTGTTGTAAAACTAGCATCCCTCGTTGATCCATGGAGCATTCTATTTTCTCTCAGCTTCTCCTCGGGAAATATAGAATGTCCATGGATCACCTCAAGAGGCTAGTTGTACTACACCACTCAAAGCAGTCAATATTATTATGATATTTCGTAGTTGATTCTTCTTCACCAACACTCACGGGAAAGTTCTATCAGAGCCTTTGGTAACCATCCGGTTGTCTTTTTCAATGTGACGTTATTGACTTGTCCAGTAGTCTCTTTTTGATTTAAAGCCGTAAGATCGCTTCATAAACTGGCTCAAGCTGGTAAGCCTGGTCACAGTTCATTGAGGGCTTATTTCGGCGGATGCCTACTGTATCTTTCATGGTTTCCTGTGGCCCGTGCATGATGGGATATCGCTGACTTTTGGTCTGCTCAGAAATCGCTTTGTGGTGTTCTTTACCCCCCAATTTTTTCACGAGTGCCCTATTTTAATTACTTTAACGTCGCGAAAACTTCAACAGCATCAGCACATTTGCCTGATACTGGCAAAATGACGAAGATCGTCAGCTATTGTCTGATATTAGTCCAGGATTGTCTACTTTAAATAATTGTCCACATTTGTTCAATGATACTTCACATGTGTGTCCTTGATTTACACCATACATGCCTGAGAATACATAATTATGTTTTTTTTCTATCTTTAGGGTATAGATTGCCATGGCCATGGCACCCACTGCGCTGGTACTACAGGAGGTTCATATTATGGAGTCGCCAAAAGAGCCACCATCAAAGGCGTGAAAGTTTTAGGCAATCCACCCTGCAGCAAATATGGTACTTCTGCTGAAATGATCGCTGGTAGGTATTAAAGGACTATGGAGGTGGCATCTTAAAGACTGAGTCAATAGATCCTGAGAGTTTTCCAAATTATTTTGGATACATGTACATTGATTTCTTAAGAAAATCACCCTTGGAAAATTAAGGCCTTTGTAAACTTATTACTAACATATCAATTTATGCAAACTGAAAAATTGCATGATGTGAAAGGGATTGAGAGAAATATCATGTCAAAAATTGACCTCTCATTCCCGAAAATCTAAAATACATGAGGACTGGTGGAACCATGGTGGGAACTCAGAAAACTTGTACAAAGAAGAAAATTTATGAAATAATTTTGTGGCGGTCATTGGGTTAAAAACTGAAACATAAATAAGAGACTAAAATGTCTTTCGGGACACACAATCTTTTTGAATTAAATTGAAGGACTAATTCTCATTTATAAACAAATCTACAATGACTGTTGATAAGAGCTATATTCAAACAATCTCAAATAAATCTAGAATCCATCGGATGTACGTAGGTAAATTTTGTGTTGTTATCATTTTCGTTCTCGCGTATTAAGTACACAATATGAATACAAACGCGATCGAACAAGGAGACCCTGGAACGTTAAGCCAGAGGTCCTGTGTGTTGTATAAAGCCTAACGCACGTAAAAGAACCCAGTAACACTTATTGCTAAGAGAAGTGGTTTGCCCCGGTGTTTCTGGCCTCCTAGTTATACTCCCTTGTGGAAGTCCTTAGGAGAAGAACCAACCAAGTACGTCCCGAAAGTACCAAGTACAAGCGCGAGTGCACAATAAGCTCTGGCCCGGTTCCAGAAAAGTCTCACATATGCAAAATAGACGTGCATGCACATCGATCAAGACAAAGGCGGGCGTGTTTTGAAAACTTTCGCCAAGAGTGCTTGTACTGACGACGCCATTGCATTTGCTCAATTTTTGGTCAATCGGTAGTTAGATTTTATGGGAAACTTAGGGGGCGAATTTTTGGTCAATTTTCCGGGGACAGACCTACCAACCGACTGACTGACAGACCAACCGACCGAGAACCAACCAACCACAAAGTGACATGTAGAAGCTCCTGCCAGAGCTTAAAAAAGGGTAGCGTACATGAATCCTTAGCTTCAAAAACATTGAAGAAAATCATTTCATTGTTGCTTTTTGGGTGTTCAGTTTTGTACATACACCATTTGTGTGAAAGCTGACTTCAAATTCTTACATGAGGAATTTGCCTTTGGGAAAGACCGTGCTACGGTTAAAACGTCAGGCCGTTTAACTTTTAGATTGAGAAAAAAATAAGCTATATGAGTAAAACACAAGATTGGCAGCAATATAACTTGGTGTCAAATTTCATTTTCGATACAAAGTAGCCGGTTAGTTGTTAATATCTTCATGCTACTGGTCTAATTATATAATCTGTTTCTGGTTGTTCTGTCCTCAAGGGTTGGACCACGTCGTTGCCAATGCCAACCAACCAGCTCTTGTGTCAATGTCCATAACACTTGACGGCACCTCCACATATTTTGATAATGTAGTCAGAAATGTGATTTCTGCGGGTATTTCGGTGGTCGTGGCTGCTGGTAATGACAATGTTGATGCCTGTAACGTGTCTCCATCTCGGATTAGTGAGGTGAGTGTGGTCAGTTTCGGTTTCGGGTCGGGTTTGCACATCATTAATGCTTTGTCTGTGTAAGTCACAGACACAGAACACAATTTAAACTTTTCTTAAGAATTCATGTACACTGACCACGTACATGTACAAACCTGCATCGTCTTCCCATTCAAGAGTCTACCCAACTACTGTCTCCAAGTCACTGTTGAGGGGCTACTGGCACTTGTGTACATATAGTCCATATAGACCTTGATAAAATAATTTCACCGTGATGGTCCAGCTGAAGTGGTCTTGCTGCCCCTCCCCCCATACACTACCACTACCAAAGAGTGGATTAGATGCGGAAAAAAAATGAGAAAATGTCCACACAAATATGTCATTACAAGTTCACAGAGTACATATATGTCTGGAGACAAGGGCCAAGTTCGGGCAAGGACCATTAGTCGACTAGTGGTTGATTTGTGACATACCTTACGCCTGCGCACTGATAGCAACGTGCGAACGTCTCTAGTCAAACGCTGGTCAAAATGTCATCGCAAAACTTCTGGATCCTGGCTCTCTGCTAGCGTTATGAATGTGCACGGGTATTGGTTACCAGCGATGCAACCAGCCCCAGTAGGTTGGTTCCGAATATTTGACTAGCGTAGTCAACCACCGTTGACTAGACAGAGTTTGGGCAAGCGTTAGTCGAACTATGGTTAACCATTGGTCAACTATAGTCCTTGCGCAAACTTGGCCATAGTTTCACATCACAGCACTTTCGATTGTCTCTGATAGACACCTTGCAAAGAGCACCCTCACTGAGGTCAGCTTGGTCTTTGTTCCTGTGGTGCACATGAGTATACACTTTGTGCTGTCATTGTCCATTAATGTAAACAACAACACCCAAACATACTCTAACAACACTTCTTGGCTTTTTCCTTTTTGTGCTAGGTGGTTACAGTAGGGGCAACTGATAGTACGGACAGCAGGGCTTACTATTCCAACTGGGGGAAATGCATCGACATCTTTGCCCCTGGGAGCAACATCCCAAGCACCTACTACACATCTGACAATGCAGTCTACACAATGTCTGGTACCTCCATGGCCTGTCCACATGTTGCAGGTAAGTGCTTTGAAGACTGAGTACTTCTTCCCCTGCAGTTCTTAGTCCCAGTTAAAATTGTAATGACTTCCTCAAAAGTTTATTAAAACTTTCGTCCAGTTTTTGTCTGTTTCCATTTTACCCCAGCCGAGAGGCGTGAAGGGTATTGTCAACGCCTATGGCGTCCGTCCGTCTGTCCGTAGTTCGGGCCGGACGGGCAGCTTAGTTTCCAGATGATAACTTGAGTTAGAAATGTTTTTTGGGATTGTAACTTCGGTAGGGGGTTGCCCTTGGGAGTAGGCAAGTTGCCCTTGGGAGTAGGTAAGTTGGAATTGGTTTTGAGGTCAAAAGGTCAAAGGTCAAGGTCGTTGTGGTGAGTTAAAGGTAAATGGTTTCCGGATGATAACTTGAGTTAGAAATAAGATTTTGGTGTCTAACTTTGGTAGGGGGTTGCCCTTGGGAGTAGGCAAGTTATGATTGGTTTTGGGTCAAAAGGTCAAAGGTCAAGGTCACTGTGGTGAGTTAAAGGTAAATGGTTCTCGGATGATAACTTGAGTTGGAAATGCGATTTTGGTGTCTAACTTAGGTAAGGGGTTGCCCTTGGAAGTAGGCAAGTTGGGATTGGTTTTGGGGTCAAAAGGTCAAAGGTCCAGGTTACTGTGGTGAGTTAATGGTTTCTGCATAACAGCAACGCTGTAATTTTTTTTCTTCACTTCTCCTCTGTTCTCTTTCCTTGTGAATCTGTTTCCCTCCCATTTGTCACTCCCCTTGTGCTTTTACATTTCCTTTTTTCCTTTTGGTCGTGAGAGTTTCAAGCAGGTCTACTAGTCAAGAAAAATGCTAATTTTTTTTGTTTTTTTTTGTGTATTTGGTATGTTTTAGGAATGTGTGCTCTCTACTTGGCTCAAAATCCAAACCTGACGCCTGCTCAGATTCACAATAGACTTGTGAACTCTGCAACTTGGGGTAAACTCTCAAACATCGGAGCAGGCAGCCCAAATCTTCTTGCTTATATTTAGATGTAGTAATACCTAATCATGGTGTTATTGAAGGTGAACAAGACAATGTTAGCTTCAGTTTTAGAGGAAGCAATCCAGAAATTCATTCATGTTTGACCTGTCACTGCATTGGCACTACTTTGACATGGTAATTTCACAGCAGTTCTTTGTAGTTATCTATCGTTAGGATGGTCCATGGAATGTGAATCTATAATGCAGTTAATTTAATTGTTCCTACTAAAAATAAGTTGACTTCAACTTTTCTTGACATCAGCATTAATATGAAAACTGATTGGAATTTATTAACAAATAAAAACCTGAATATTAAAACTCACGAGAATTCAAGTTTTGTATTCATAGAGGGCACTTGTCAATTCTGATGGATTATTTTCCTTGGGTTTATGGACACGAAATAATTCAAAGTAATGAACTACTTGGCTAGAGATGACAATGCCGTCACTTGAAAAGAAATAAAAATTCAAAAAGATTTTGCCACAAAGAACAGCAACAGATACTTTAACAAACACTTTTGAGAGTCAATTATTATGTATTAATTAAAATCAGCATGCCAATATTAACCTAACAAATCAATGTTCCCCGGAAAACTAACATATTTTTCTCTACTTATTGTGTGAATAAAGGACTAAGAAATTATACCACTGCAATTGAATGTTTCTCTCATGTTTGTTTTATTACTTTCATGATTGACATGTATTCTCACAGAAATATGGTAAAAGAAATCCATTCGCAATAAGATTTTTAAAATGTTATTTGAAATGTTGCTCAATGACCACTTGAACCATATAAATGTAGATGCAAACGAGTGCACGGATAACAAGATATTTGCATTTATATACATTCAACTTGGCATATAACCTCTTGCAGTTTTGGAAGTACTGTCATATAACATAAAGGGGAAAAAACAACTTATTTTTAGCATGATGCAAGTACATCTTTATGATCAGACATTGTCAGATCACAAGAAGTGAGTCCCAAAGAATTTTTAAACAATAGAAAGATGAGTTTTGCTCTTCAGTTGTTGGATGTCAAGAATCAATTTTAAAGATTAAAGAAATGTCGAAGTACTTGTCTAGTAAATAGAAATAAAAGGAAAAGTGAATCTGCGGTTGGGCATTTCAAGTATTTGCATCACATGTAAGAACAGTTTATTTTCCAAATACTGATTGTTACATTGTTACCTGTGTATGCTTGTGATGTACCAAACCCACTTGCAAATTAGGAGGAATACAGTTGTACATGTACATGAATATGTAAATTAATTTATTCATTACTGCAGCAACAAAAAAAGATGTACAGCCTGTCTAAAAAAAATGGTACAATAGAAATTGTTTTTTTTTTATAATTAAGTTCACTCATAAGTGGAAAGACCATGCTTTCTGCTACATTTTTTTCCAGCTCATTTGGTTTTAATAGTAGGTATGGTCTTTAGCAGATGATATTTGAAACAAATTTTTCTGACTGTACCATTTTTTGTTTAGACGGGATGTATTTCAATGCTCATGATTACTATTCTAAGTCACATTATGTTAACTCAAAATAAAGATTTGATGCAACCAAATTGAAAACTTGTGGCGCAGCTTGTTCTTGCATGTATTGTCAGATGTTTGTAGTATTAAACCCAATAGGATCTTTCACATTTGCAGGGGCGGATCCAGGAACCGTCAGATTTTTGTATGTCCGGTTGTTATGGACAGGTGGACATACAAGTAATAGTACATTGTTAATAGGGGAGAAGACTTATTTGTCGTATATCTTTGAGAATAGCCGCCTTGGACATTTCTTGATGAACCTCTCAATTTATTTACATGTATATCTTTTTTAGGAAGAAATGTTGCAACCTGACTGACGCCACTTTTCTCTTCATCTATCATCTCAATGAAGATCAGTCATTGCAAAAATGATGATAAGACATGAATCTGGGACTGAGAAACATTTCCAATTTTGTTAGGAAAGATTTTCTTGACTCTCCATAGACTTTGTACACAACCGCTGAATTGGCGTCAGGTTGCAACATTTGTTCCCTTTTTATTATTACTATAATTGTTATAATTGTGAGCTTGTCTTACATACGCAGTGTGGACTTCCGAACAAAAGACGTCCACATAATGTAGGTAGCAGCGACGAAGTGTGGACTTGCCCACGTCCACACAGTGTTTCCCCATTTCTGGAAAACAGGTTTAGAGGCATTTTTGGGTTAGGTTTATCTGTAGCAGAATGAAGAGAAACACTAAAGGGAATCATTGAAAAAAAATTGGGTTGTAAGAGTTTTCACAGTTTGAGAAAAATGAGTTTTTCCACTGGTGTTCCTTAACTACACGAAAAGAAAGGAAAGTCCACACTAGGTATGTGAAACAAGTCTGGGTGTGTGTGTGTGTGTGTGTGTGTGAGTATGTAAACACCGGCAATTGTGAACTAGGGACAAAAGGGTTAGGGCACAAACAAAGGGTCCACGATTGACCGACAGTCCATGATTGAAATTTGTGTACAAAACCAATGAGAGCTGTTGCTAAAAAGTTAAACAAACAACGGAATGAGGATTAGGGACGATAGGGGGTCCACAATTGCTTGTGTGTATTTGGATCCGAGACTAATTAACCAACCAAATTATTGTCAAAAGGGTTACTAGGATTTGGAACATTCTTTGGATTTTGAGCGGTGTTATTATTGAAAGCAATCAAAATGCATGTATATACCCATCTATGTAAAATGATCCTATACGCCTTTAAAGTCACGGCATGATTCAAAAGATAAAAAAGGCCGTCCTTTCAGCTGTGATCCAGGTACATGATTCCTCCTCCTTTCCAGAGACTGGTTCCGCCCTTTATTGTTGTTTTGACTTTGTATGTAGCATCTAATAGATAAAATGTTTTGTTTGTTGTAAGCACTAGAAATGTATTTGGAAGGATTTTAAACATAAGCCAAAACATGATGAATCAGCCTAAGGGATATTTTTGTTTAAAGTAGTCATAATTGCAACAAGTGGCAGTGTGCCAAAGGAAGACATCCCACCAAACAATTCCCGCCAAATTTCAGCACAACAGAGTGTCGCCATATATTCAATGGATCAAGTCAAGCCCAACTCTTACTTGTTAATGTTGCTTATTTGTTGAGTTTGTTTTTGCCTCTCCTGGATTGGGCTAAACTCGGTCCTGAGTATTTTAATCTAACATGGGGCCTAGGTTTGCTGCAAAGTAAGATACAAAAGGCCAACGAGTGGTCTCTTGCTTAAGGGGAAGGTCATTACAAGGCCTAATGGCTTTTTGAGGAGTTGTGTGAAACTTCTGCAGTCTTATAGTACTGCAGTGGTAATGTGACGTCACAATGGAAACCTAGTTTGTAAGGAAATGGGTCAATGTATCAGAGTTTAGTATCAGTAATTGCTAAATTGGTAATACAAGAACAGAAATAAGATATAAATTCCAATTATACATCACAATCAGTGTTTACTGATGTGGCTTCCTAAACTATCTCTTACCTTAATTAAAACAGTCCGATGAGAACATGACATGTTTTTATCTTGTTTACAGTTTGGCCTAAATTAAGATTGTGCAGAAATGCTGATGTGGACGTTTTGAAACAATTCTTGCTTCTGAGGTCAGGACAGCATGTGACTTCATGAGAAACTAGCTTTTGGAGGATTCAGAATTGTTTTTATAGCAAAATGCTAAGCTAACTTTTTTTTTTAGATTAGTAAATTTAAAGTTGATTTACTGGAAGCCATTGAAAGTGAATTATGTTTCTTTTTGTTGATTCCTTGTAAATCGGAAGAAACACATGTTGCAGTAGATTAATCAATGAATCAGTAAATGCCCAATGATAATTTATTTAGGTATCTAGGCCAATAATCAAACTTGTTTTCATTAATATAACCAAATGATACGATATCTCGGAACCAAACTTGCGCAAGGCAGTATTGAAGTAATGTCAAGTCTATAAAAGAGCGGGTGTTTCTGGACCAGGTTTTATGTTCCTCATTTGTTGGTAGACCACGTTAAACAATGCATACATGTACATTGGTTCTTCTGTTGTTGGTTGGCGTAGCTGCAGCTGGATTTGCTCCACTGCACAAAGTTAACGAGAGCATCAAAGGACGTTACCTCATCAAATTCAAGTAAAAAAATGTGACATCACAAAATCATTTTTGTCAAACAGAAGATGTTTCAGTGTGTAATTAAGCATTATGTGATTCCTGTTTGTGTAGATTATGAATGTTGATTTCCCGTTTGATGTTATTTCTTTTATTTCAGGGATGATTTGGACGTGGACACCGTTGTTGATGACATCCAGCGCCGTGTGCAGCAGCAGCGTTTGGGCCACGCCAAGATCTCTTATCGCTACTACCGAGTCGTGAAGGGCATGGCTGCAGAGCTATCAGAGGAAGCCCTGGAATATGTGAGAATAAACATGATCTGTGGTGTTTTTTGGGTTTTTTTTGCTGTTTGTTATTGAATGGCCATGTCTGAGAAAAAGTGGTAGGCTAATGAAACTATTGTGAAGACGAAGACATTGATTGGAATTTGGGGAAAACAATTTAGAATAATGTACCAGAAAAGGTTTCTTGTGAATTTGTTTGAACAGTCCTCCCAAGATCTTTAGAAAAAAACTAGCGATATAACGTTAGGTATTTTAACTAAGGAAGCAGCTTATGTCATAACCGCCCCCCCCCTCCCCAAAAAAGGTTGATTGATTCAATTTTATTTCTACCCAATCATATAATCCAATATATCCAAACTCAAGATTTCATTTTGTTGCTCCCTGATCATCAAACTACATGGACCACTAAATTTCCCCAATTTTCTTGGATAGATTCGAACATTGGATGAGGTGGAGTGTGTGTCCGAGAACCCTCGGTCACACGCAACAACACCCTGGGGCTTGGACCGCATCGATCAGTTCAATCTACCCCTAGACGGCTCCTTCTCAACGAGCGCATCTTACAGTAAGAATAGATTAGATCTCATACTAAAATGTACAAGCTTATCACCATAGATTGGTATCCCACTAGTTGCATGTTACTTCCCAGTACCACCACCAGTTCCAGCATTGGGGGGGGGGGGGGGGGGGGGGGGGGGACCAGTATAAGGGGACACACCACACCAAAAACAAAGAGCAAAACCTAAAAACCCCAATCCACATGTGGTCCGGGCAGGAATTGAACCCAGGCCACAGCGGTGGAAGGCGAGGAAAGTAACCACTGTGCCAACCTGACTCCCCTTGCTGATTTGTATTTGGTTCCAAACATGTAATAATGTTCTGTTAGAAGTTGGTCATTTGCCTGTCAGAGAAATTTCATTGGGGGGGGGGGGTGTTTGACAGTTGAGACTTATTGCTTCAGTCACATCTACGTATACAGTGCACTACATGCAATGGAGCTGTGTGTAGAGAGCACGTTGTGCACATTGATCAGATGTGTGGCTACCATCAGAGTGTATTTCCCCCCCCCCCCCTCTCTCTCTCTTTCTCTTTATTATAAAAGCAATAACAATATTTATAACGCACCTTAATCATAAAAAATGCTTTAAGGCGCGTTATAAATAAGATTAAAATGACTCCCTTGTCATTAACTGTTGTTATTTTGCAGATGAAGGAGCAGGGGTTGAAATCTGGGTCGTAGACTCCGGTATCCGGCCGACCCACAATGACTTTGGAAATAGGGCATCCGTCGAATTTGATGCTTACGGTGGTGATGTGAGTATCATTTTACTTTAACCTTCTCCTTTATTGTGTTATTTCCCTTGCTATTTATAATTTTGTTCTTGTTCATTTGTTTGCTTTTTTTGTCCAGTTAACGTTTGTTATTATGTGTGGGTCCGCATGCTTCAGATTCGCTTTTGCAGTCCCTGACCCTCATAATCATTTTCATTGTGATTTGTATGTGCCTTGTTGGTTATTGTTTACCTCATACGAAAGTCTTATTCAAACTAGTCAGTACTATTCAAAAAGGTCTATGAAATTTGCAAGTCTTGAAAGGGCAATCAATTGTCCGATCTGACTGACTTAGTCACCAACTGACTGGCTGACTGACTTTGCATCACTGAGATGTTTGGTTGCAACTGGACTTAATTGGCATTTTTCACTTAATTGGCAAGACTTTTCAGAGTGAAATGGTCACATTTAATTGTGATATAGTAGCATGAAGAGAATTAGTCATATTTCGTAGTTGATTCTCAGTTTCTATCAGAGCTTTCGGTAACCATCCGGTTGTCTTTTTCAATGTAACGTTATTGTCCAGTAGTCTCTTTTTGCCAAGTTAGCATATATGTTAAGATTAACATCAAAACCTCCCCCAATATTGATGGTTTCTGTGGGTTTTTTTTTTTATACAATCATTAATGTAACCTTATCGGGTCTCGCTTAACGTAGTGTCTTATGTTCCATATGTTGGTAATGTACTTGTGTTTGGGTAGTTTTGTGTTATATTTTTGTGTCCAGGGATAAACTTAAAAGCTTTTGCTTCATTATTATCCCTACATGGTGGTAATTAGCCGATTAATTAATCACTGGTGTAAATAATTGTAAGTTAATACATGCTCTTATTAAAATTATTACTGTTGTAAAACTGTATACCTTTTACCAACATGAAATAAATGTTAAAAAAAAAAAAATTAAGATGAGATCGCCTCATAAACCGTGAAGTTAAAGTCTGGTCATTGTTCACTGATGGCTTATGGCGGCGGAGTGCCTCCAGTATCTGTCGTCCGTAGGAAATTTGCCTCCTGGTCAGTGGTGTGTGTGCCTTGAGTTTTTGCAACAAATGTGATATGATTATATACAGAATAACTGACAAGACAGGCGATATATGCACAGGTGACTCATGTCTCATGGTCCACTTCCACGCGTTGTAAGACTGAGCTATAACCACAGTTCTGATTTGTTTTGTATATGTTTTCTAATCGAGGTCGTCCTTGATTTCACTCTAGTCCTCAAGTTCTCGATGATGCTTCACATGTGCATTTACACCATATTTGCCTGTGAATACATAATGATGTTATGTTTCTATCTATAGGGTATAGATTGCCATGGCCATGGCACCCACTGCGCTGGTACTACAGGAGGTTCATATTATGGAGTCGCCAAGAGAGCCACCATCAAAGGCGTGAAAGTTTTAGGAAGTCCACCCTGTAGCAAAAGTGGTACTGGTGATGCAATGATCGCTGGTAGGTAAAAGACTGAGTCAGTAGAGCCTGAAAGTTGACCCCTAATGGCGTGCTTTTGGACCCCTCGAATAGGAAAGTCAGCAATGTAAAAGTCAGAGTTTTTCAAGTTGTTTTGGATACATTGATTTCTTAAGAAAATCACCCTAGCAAAATTAAGGCCTTTGTAAAATTATTACTAGCATCTCAATTTATACAAGCTGAAAATTGCATGATGTGAAAGAGAATTATTGTGTCAAAAATTGACCTCTCACTTCTGAAAATCTGAAATACATGAGAACTGGAGGAACCATGCATGGGTGGAACTCGGAGCACTTGTACAAAGAGGAAAATGTATGAAAAAGTTTTCTGGCGGTCATTGGGTAAAAACTTAAACTAAAATATGAGACTTTAGCTACAAAAACATTAAAAAAAGAAAATGTTTTCATTGTTGCTTTTTAGGTGTACAGTTTTGCACATACACTGTTTGTGTTAAAACTGACTTGAAATTCTTACATGAAGAATTTGACTCTGGGAAAGACCATGCCAAGGTGAAAACATAGGGCCGTCTGACTTTTAAGATTGATAGAAAAATAAGCTGTATGAGTAAAACACAAGCATGAAAGTCGCGAGGGGGGGGGGGGCAAGAGGGGGCTTCCCCCCCCCTCCCAAAAAGCAAAAACAACAATAAAAAAACAAACAAACAAAAGGAAGAAAGAAAAAAAGAAAAGAAAAGAAAAGAAAAAGAGGCGTGAAGTCATATTGGTGTAAATGTAATGGGTTGGGGGGGGGGGAGCAAAATGTCCCTGCCCCATTCTAGAAATGCAGGAACTTTTTGGGGAAAAATATGTTTTGCCCCCTCTAGAAAAAAATCCTGGCGACGCCCATGAACACAAAATTGACAATAATATAACTTGCTGCCAAATTTCATTTTCAATAGAAAGTAGCCAGTTAGATGTTAATATTTCCATGCTACCAGTTTAATTGTATAATCTGTTTCTGTTCTGTCATCCAAGGGTTGGACTATGTTGCTGCCAATGCCAAGCGACCAGCTCTTATTTCAATGTCCGTCGGATTTGCAGGCACATGGGACTATTTTGATACTGTAGTCAGAAATGTGATTTCGGGGGGTATTCCGGTAATTGTGGCTGCTGGTAATGACAACATAGATGCCTGTACCGTGTCTCCATCTCGGATTAGTGAGGTGAGTGTAGTGTAGTTGAACAGCGCCCTCTGTTGTAGGTCTTAGACCAGGCAACTGTTTCACATGCCATCCTGACTAAAAGAGTTACTCTCAAATCCGTGTCCATATTTCGTTCCAAACATCACAGTGAGTGTGGACCATAGAGCTATATTAAATGACTAGAGCGCAAACTCATGTACAAAGTGATGCCTGCTGGGCGCATCCATGTTTGTACACAAACCTATGGAGAACTAGAAATTTTTTTGTACGTCTATTTGCATATCTGCATTTGTATTCCATACCGGTGCGTCATCGAAGCCGATACGCCCAAAACCAAAGCGCACGATCAGCAAATGAGCGTTTCATTTTGCTCTACGCAAACAGCGCAACGCGTGTGCACGTATCCACTGCAGATGCTTTTTGCCATGACTTTTTCATAACCGTTTTGACGTACTTAAGTTGTTCGCGTATGCTCTACTTGAGCGTTGCATTTAGAGTACACTTTCAAAATCCAATCCATCTAATTTGATTGTGTTCTTCCGACACACACAAAATGTCTGCGCCCAGGACGGCTTCAAAGCGTCTCCGCGCGCAAGAATGAGGAATAATAATTTAAGCTCTTTTAGTGTCGAGTCAGTCGAGGGTGCTTTGTGAACTCAAGAGGAGCCAAACACACTGCATGTACACACCGTCCTACTTTACCATAATGTCTGAAAACAAAGACATTGTGTTTTGTATAATATGTTTAGTGAGGCAGAGGAAAACAACAGATTCTTTCTGTCCTCGAACGTACGTAATTTCTTTTTGGAGAATGGTCCTCGAACATAAAGTCTGTGTGCTTTAATATAGTCAGTGTAAGTTACAAAACACAGAACACATTTTCAAATCTGAAGAAGTACACAGACCATGCACCTGCATCGTCTTCGCATTCAAGATTCTGCTCAACTACTCTCTTCAAGTCACTGTTGAGGTACTTAACAGTACCATATTCCATATAGACCTTGATAAAATAATTTCACTGTGATGGTCCAGCTGAAGTGGTCTTGCAGCCAGCAAGTGTGTATTTGCCTGCAATCGGAGACCCCCTATTGTCCCTCTTTTGTTTGTACCTCTCATATGTTTTGTACACGAACCAATTTGGGGACCTCTCAGGAATTGGGGACCCTATTGTCTTCTATTCTTCAACGTCCCCTATTGAATGCAGAAACAAACTCACGCCACCACCCCACACACCCACTCCCTTCCTCCAGAGTGGGTGCCTTATAGATGTGAAGAAAAGAGCAAAGGTCCACACAAATGTGTCATAATTACAAGTTCACAGAGTGCATGTGTCTGGAGACATTAACAGCTAACAGCACTTTTGATAGACACCATGCATAGAGTGCCTTTACTGTGGGCAGATCTTTGTTCCTGTGGTGTACATGAGTTGACACTTTGTGCTCTCATTGTCCACAACTGTAAACAAACAACAAAACCCCAATATCCTCTTTACAAATCTCCTTTCTTGTGCTAGGCGGTTACCGTAGGGGCAACTGATAATACAGACAGCAGGGCTTGGTATTCCAACTGGGGGAACTGCATCGACATCTTTGCCCCGGGGAGCGACATCCCAAGCACCTACTACACATCTGACAATGCAGTCTACACAATGTCTGGCACCTCCATGGCCTGTCCACATGTATCAGGTAAGTGCTTTGAACACTGAGTAATTCTTCCCTAGTTCCTCAAGCCTGGTTTCCATATCAACTACGCAGACTGCGCAGAGAGTACGTGGAACAGAGAACAAAGTTGAACCGGGTTCAACTTTGCCAATCGTCATGCGAGATAGTTTGCGTCTGTCAGTGACACTTCCGTATGAAATGTTTCCACATGTCTGCGTTGCAGTTTGGGTCCCGTTTGTGTTTCTTACATCGATATGGAAACTAGACTTTAGTCCCAGTTACAATTGTAACAACTTCCTCAAAATTGTTACAAATTTCGTCCTGTTTTTTAAGTCTGTTTCCTTGTTTTGTCTTCACTTTTCCTCTATTCTCTTTCCTTGTGAATCTGTTTCCCTCCTTCTTATCACTCCCCTTGTGCTTTCATATTGCATTTTTCCCCATTTGTAATTATTACCTGTCAATAGGCATTTACGCACACCAATCACCACCTTCCTTAGTGATTGGTGATAATACACTTGATGATGTGACAGAAACAAAGTTCTTTGGAGTATGGACTCGGAACAACCTAAAATGGAACACCCAGGTTTAACAAATGATTTCTAAGGGTAGCAGACGCCGCCACATTCTTAGTCGCTGAAACAGTTTGGTGTTCCGAAAGAAGATCTCTTAACAATCTTTCTGTACAACATACGTTTTTGAATATGCTGCACCTGTGTGGCACTCTGGTCTAACTTCAAACCAAACTTCAAGTATCGAAGTAATACAAAAAAGGGCCTTCAATATCCTACGATATTTCACCGTCTAACTTTGATGTTAAGACCTTGGCTGTCGGGAGGAAGACCTTTGTTTACACTTTGCCAAATCTTGTGTTGTCTATGAGCGTTTTAAGAGCTGGTTTTCTAAAAATATTTATACCCATGCAATAGAACTTTGGCAAAAACGGCATTTTATTGAACCTAAAGTCTGAGTTGAAAGGTGCGGAAAACTATTCCGTATCTCACTGAATTGCTTCACAAACATACTTGATGCTTTGCCCTTGACAGTGCTTAGGGTTATTCATGGAGACAAACATGGTTGTCTAATGTATCTCTTTGTGTGTATTAAATGTTTTGGCTAAAACCTTTTTCTAAGCTCATTTTTATAAGTTTGTCTGGTAGATTTGGGGGTTTTTTTTGGACGCAAGGCTTAGCTATAATGGTCATGGGTTGGTTTTACCGCTGTAAAGCATTGTTTCTCTGAATCCATGTGTGCAATTTGTACATCTAATATATGTAGTATAAAGTTTATATGTAGTATAAAGTTTAAGGTTTTCCATCTTTAAATGATTACTTTGATCACGTTTAAACTGTTTAAAAATTATTTTATTGTAAATTGAACCGCAGATGCCTTTTGGTCGCGAGATAAAAAATACAATAATAATAAAATAATGACAAGTTCTTGCCCTTCACCATTGCAAACCCTCAAATCTCAATAACAAAATACACTCATTTCAAGCAGATTTACTCTTTTTTTGGAATTCTCTTAAGACACAAAAACTGCTATATATGTGCTTTTTATTTGATATTTTGTAGGAATGGTTGCTCTCTACTTGGCTGAGAATCCAAACCTGACGGGAGCCCAGGTTATGAACAAACTTGTCAACTCTGCAACTTGGGGTAAACTCTCAAACATCGGAGCAGGCAGCCCAAATCTTCTTGCTTATATTTAGGCGTAGTAATACCTCATCATGGTGTTATTGAAGGTGAACATGACAATGTTGGCTTCAGTTTATAGGAAGCAATCTGGAATTTAATTAATGTTTGACCTATCACTGCATTGCCTTGGCACTAATTTGACATGGTAAATTCACTGCAATTCTTCGTAGTTATCTATCTTTCAGATGGCCTGTGGAAACTAATGAGAATACAAGTTTTGTATTCATAGAGGGCACTTGTCAGTTCTGATGGATTATTTTACTTGGGTGTAAGACAGGAAATAATTCCAAGGAATGATCTACTTGGATAGGCATGACAATGCCGTCACTTGAAAAAAAAATATTCAAAAAGATTTTGCCGCAAAGAATAGTTACTGATACTTTAACAAACATTTTTGAGAGTCAATTATTATGTATTAATTAAAATCAGCATGCCAATATTAACCTTACAATGCAATGTTCTCTAATTATTGTACGAATAAAGGACTCAGAAATTATACCACTGCAACTGAATGTTTCTCTCATGTTTTATTTTTTATTACTTTCATGACTGACGTGTATTCTCACAGAAATATGGTAAAAGAAATCCATTTGCAACATGATTTTTGTAAAATGCCATTTGGAATTGTCCTCATTGACCACTTGAACCACATAGATGCAAACAAGTACAAGGATAACAATATATAAATTGCATTAATATATACATTTAACTTGGCATATAACCTCTTGCAGTTTTGGAAGTACTGTCAAATAAAGAAAAACACAAGTTATTTTTAGCATGATGCAAGTACATCTCTATGATCAGATCCCAAACAATGAGTTCCCAAAAAACTTTATACAGTAGAAAGAAGATTTTTGCTATATATTTGGATATTTCACACAGTTTGACCCTCATTATACATGCTGATATTATTGAAGTGAAATTTGATATCGGTGCATGTATAAACTGCCATTCGTTTTTTTTGTTTTTTTTTTACTCTGAAATGATAATTTACTTCTTCAAAAACAACCCTGTGATCCTTCACGCTAAAATACTATCAAATTTCTTCTTAAAACTGACATTGAAAGTAAATTTAAACCACTCAAACCCAAGTAAAAAATGAACTTGTCCATCATTTCAATACATTAATACTTTAATTGTGCTTTTTAGCATAAAACTGGCATTACATACATGCAATATATACAATCTGTCAAGTACAAATATTGTATGTACACTTTTTACATACAGGAATGTTACAAAGTAGTCATTTAAAAACAGAAGAAATATTATTTGAATAGTACTCTGTATTCAAATACAATGCGACAAGACAACAATTCATGAATGTTTGCTAAAAGCTCTAGGACTTTAACCACTGCGCGCTGGAATTACTTTGGCAAGAACAGTACGAGGCATGGGATTTATTTTCACTCGACCTCAAGCCAGGCGGGTTGAAGCCATCGCCCTTGGGCAGCACACTCATATTTCTGGCCTTGCTCACTGCAAGCGGGGTCACCGATAGATATTTCCGGCCTCCCTCCCTGCGTGTTTATCCGTCATTCGTTGCGAATACCGCAAAACATTTGCCTCCCTGCCCCTTCTGGATACGCCCCCGGGTGTTTTTCTTGGGGGGAGGGGGGGGGGGGGGGAAATAGAACCACTGTCTGTATGACAGAGGTGATATACATGTAGGAGTTGACCACCGCGTGCTACATTTCAAGCAAATTTTTGCTTAAGAATCGTAGGCAAAAACTCATGCTGAAGACAGCAAACATTCTTCTTTCAGTCTTAAACACAAAATTATGCCCTCTGCAGTCTGTTAGGAAGATAATGACCCTTGATGCACACATTCATTTTGAAGATGTGTTCAGGTCCATTCATACATGTGTTATACGATGCACTCATGGGCCTATGCAGGTCCATTGTATGCATTATGTGATGCATTCATGGGCCTATGCAGGTCCATTCATATAGGCGTTATGTGATGCACTCATGGGCCTATGCAGGTCCATTCATACATGCGTTATGTGATGCACTCATGGGCCTATGCAGGTCCATTCATATAGGCGTTATACGATGCACTCATGGGCCTATGCAGGTCCATTCATACATGCGTTATGTGATGCACTCATGGGCCTATGCAGATCCATTCATACATGCTTTATGTGATGCACTCATGGGCCTATGCAGGTCCATTCATACATGCTTTATGTGATGCACTCATGGGCCTATGCAGGTCCATTCATACATGCTTTATGTGATGCAGGTTTTCACGACTATACTGTATTTCCAGCTTAGCAAACCTCACACTGACAGACAGCATATAGTAGAGGGCGCTCTTTACCTTCTCCAGAACATTACCATCAACCTTCCGATTTATACAACTCATATATAGAATCATTTGAAGTATATCAAAATGGAGCTTCTAATAGCATGCAAGGGAGCCTAGGATCAACAGAGTGGACTATACATGTAGTTCTGTGTTCAGGTATTTCCTTTGTATGCTATTATTGACAAAGTCCGACATGATATCATAGAGGTGGCGTTGTACGTGCGAATCATCCAAGGAATGTCGCTGGTCCGGATAGAACTGCAATGAGAACAAGTACCAACATCAACTTCAAAAACTTACTTCAAGAACTGGTTTCAGGTTAACGTCGTTTCAACTTGTTATCCAGAAGTTTGTTGTCTTTTAATAATCACAATCAAAATTTATTTCATAGTTGAATTCTACAATAGACACTAACTGGAAATTTATGTTACAAATGTGAACAGAATCAGTCTCTGCAATGATCAATGTCACCACAAAAACTGCTGTTGTCAATGTTCATCAGCTAGAAATTGTGGGAAAATGTTCATCTGATGCCCCCCCCCACCCCTCTCAGAAAAAATATCTGCCCACATGTCTGGTACCAAAGTGCCAATAAATGTTTAGTTTTTATTGTGCTGGTTCACATATTTTCCAGGTGTGATTCTGCATTCAGAAGGTCCGTTACCAAGGTAACGCTTACCTGTGTTCTGAGAACAACTTCTTCTTGGACTAATGACCGTACAAAATCAGCCGAATTCTGGAAGTGAACGTTGTCTACAGATAAAAAAAAAACAAAAAAATTATAAATTTTTACTCTTTTTATTTTTGTAGGCCATGGAACGGATAAAAGTATGGATTTTCAAAAGGAATACATGAAATAATACAACTAAAAATTTCTGTCGAAAGTTACCACTTGATTGGGGAAATTTCATTTTTAGAGAGCCAAAAGGTTTTAAAGCTTATTGTCAAAGAAATTACAATATTTCACACATTATTACACATTATAACAGGTGTTATAATTTTGTTGTCTAGGAGAGGTATTTAAAAGTCAGTCTATCTCAGGCAAAGCCTATATGTGTGACAAACAATGCATGTTGTTTGCAACTTCTAGTATAATCTAGCAAGTAACTCCCACATTAATCTGTACAATGAACATTATTATGGCAAGAAGTTTATTGAACTCACCATCTGCTGTCCCATGGACTAAGAGGAAGTTGAATCCTTTGATATTCCGAGCTCTCGCTGAAACGTTGGTGTGCTGAAGAAAACAAGAACAATTTAGACAATCGTTATGAAGTGATAAATATCCTTGCCGCAAACCTCGGAAAGATGAGGGGTAGAGACTGAGTAGTGAAGACGTCTGCATGATGAATCATGAGGCCGTGGGTTTGACTTCCATCAGAGCAAGTTTGTTCATTTTTAATGTTTTCCTTGTAAGTTCTCAGTATATTTATAAGGTGCTCATGAAATAATGTCGGTTAACGGTCAAACCAGATATTAGAGCCAAGTTTGGTGCAAGGCGAGGGACTGTTTGAACTGCATGTACATCACTGATGTGGGATGTTGTTAAGTCCTAAACTAATGGTACCTATTTGAATCTGGCTTTGACTTGAGCCCTGGCTCAAAGGTATGGACTTGATTCTTGGTTTCAAAGGTCTTTTTCATGGAAAGGAATTCATGAACCTATGAGTAAAGCCAGCGAGTTTCAAGTTGCCAAGTTATTTGAAATCATGATGAAGTCCACAGCCACATTTAACCTAGAGCCAGTGCTCACTGAAAGTCTGGAAATGACGTTGTTGGACTTGCATAGATTTTTTATAATGATGGACTTAGACGCCACTAATAATAATAATAATAACACAATATTTATAACGCGCACTTTCTCTGGAATCCATTCAAAGGCGCCGGTCTATAGATGTGAAGAAGAAAACCTCAATTGTTGGGAAAAACCAGCATAAAGAGATCTGTTTTGAGTTTCTGCGTGAAAGATGTGATGTTTTCCGTGTCTCTGATTTCAAGTGGCAAATGGTTCCAAAGCCGAGGTGCAACATTTGAAAAGGCTCTGTCACCATAACTGGCAAGACGAGCTCGAGAATGGAAAGGAGACTGCCAGATGACTTCAAACCCGGTCTGACAGTACAACAGTCTGAATACAACAGAAGTGAGCCATTTTCAGGGGGCTTATACATGTAAATTGAGAGTGCTTTGAAACCGTAATATTTCTTGATCATCTTCTCTCAGCCAGCCTCATCAAGCGGTACAAATTGTACGACCAAAAATAAAGCTATAAAACCAAAAGATAACCAAAGCTAAACCTGTCTACATGTATATCCTACCTTATATCCTTCCATATTGTCACATGATTCAGGGAGACCCATGTAGCGCTCAGTGTAGATGGAATCTGTCAATGGAAATACACAATTCATCCAATTCAATTCATATTCAATTTGCAAAGATTACTCCGAGTTTGCCTTTTACCAACAAAATAAAGGTTTTCAATTACCAAAGCAAAAAAAATTTAAAAAAATTTAAAAAAATTCTCTTTCCCTACAGTGACCAGATGTCACCAAAAAATAATTTGAAAGTATTTTTTTTTCAAGTTTGAGATTTTATCTCCAAAAATGAATGGATTAAATCATTCAATGCTCAATTTAACCCACCCAATGCTTATGAAAGGAAATATTTCTCCGAGCCTCGGACGGATCCTGAAAATGTTGAGCGTCTTTGGTCATACAGATTAACCTCATCTCAAGTCACAATTTTGAAATTTACTACACCGCATGCCAAGTCAGTTGAACTCACCATAGTATCTGAAGTCTGTGACTGGCGCGACAGCAATGCCATACTTGAAGATGTCATTTTCAGAGCTGAGGGCCATTGAAGCTGCAAAGCCGCCATACGACTGCAAAAAAAAAAGTGGAAAAAGAACGCTTGTTTTTTTTCTGAGTAGTATCTGTAAGCAGTGCTCTGCAGTGCATTCCACTCATATGAATATTAGCGAGAACATTAGGAACTTATTCGTGAACAACTCAGGACGGACGTACCAGCCGATGGGAGTTCCGGGGTACCTGCATTGTTGCCCCTTTGTCCCTTTTTCTGCGGGGTACAGATTTCACTTGCTGGGTACCTCGATGCAAGGACAGGTACCCCACAAGTGGTCCATGGTAAGTATGATCATTCCTAACGTTGGGGGCACACGGTCGGTCCTATTTGCACAAATGTTGCCAACGACGGCAAACGTTAGCATTGTTTGCTCAGGAACGTATCCCTGGGGTGAGGGGAGCGACATCAAATTTAGATGCAAATCACTGAATGCAGGTTCACATTATTTTTATATGAATGAGACTTACCCATCCCCAGATGCCAACCTTGGTGCTGTTGATGTAGGGGAACATCTTTAGGATATGCCTATGAAGAAAATATAAACAAAATGGAAAATACAGTAGATGATAATTAAGCAAACTCTCAAGTTGTTGAATTTTATCAGAGCCGTAATCAAAAGTCAAATCCGGGAAAACAATTAATGCCTTTGTCACGGTTCATTTGAAGAGCTACATGTACTTGAGAGTGGATGACTTGTGATGGACTTGTGACAATTCTTGTTAACAGGCATGCAACTGGAAATTTAGACAAAATAAGGAAAATGCAAACCAAGACTTTGTACAGTATTTTTCAACTTGTAATGGCATTCCTGAGAAGTAAAAAACGAGGAAAATAGCAGATCCGAGGAAAAGTTGCAAGCCTGTGTAAATAGCAAATATGAAATAATTGTAATAATTTGGCCAAACAGTTATTGTAGAAAACTTGTTATAGCGTTTGTTTAGAAAAACAGTACTACACCTTGAGTGTCCTTAATGTATAGTTTTCATGATGAATTCAGGAATATTCATTTTTTTTTCAAGTTTGGCAATGGTGGAACCCTTGGGCAGTTGGTTGGCTTACCTGACACCAATGACCTGGTCTTGTACTTCCACCGTTCCAAACCGTTTATAGATCTGATACAAATGTTTCTCTCCTTGGAACCCAGATCCCCGTCCATCGATATTGACCACAATGACGAAATACTTGCTGGACAGGTAAGCATTCCAGCCCAACTCAAATCGATCGTTGACCATCTGCGAGCCCGGTCCCCCGTAGACGTGAACCAGTATCGGGTGCTTCCTGTTAAGGTCCATCTTCGGAGGGATCCACATCTGAATCGGGAGTTTGTACTCCCCGACTTGGATCTCATAGAAGGTCTTATTAGGGTAGGCCTTGCCTTCTAAGGCCTTAGTCAGTGCCTCGTTGGTCTCCACCACCAGTACACGGTCTGTGCTAGTCTGGTGCAGCGTTGTGCGAGGGATGCCGGGTCCCAGACAGTTCAGCTTGTACCAGGAGTTGTCAGGACTGAAGGAGGTATCGTAGTAGGTGCAATTCACATGCAGATCGCAGGATAAGCAGCGACGTGTAAAAGGCCTCTCAGTGCTAACACTGCAAATGCAAGGTTTAATAGAAACTAGTGAATTTGAACTAACACCAAAAAATATACAACTAAATTTGCATTAATATACCAGTGTTACTAAAGTTGGTTTGAGATATCTGATTGCGTTAATATATGTTTCATAATTCATAAGAATCAAAGAGAAAAGATTTAATACAATCATAAAAAACAGTGAATAATTTGTGTTACCCTTGTAGGTATGAAACTAAACTCTCTTCAAAGCTCTAGTGTCTATCAACAGATACACAAACATTAACCGTAACTCCATGTCTAATTTTTTTTGCCCTGGAAACGATGAAAAACCAGGTTCTGGACGACCTATTTGAACACAATTTCAACAATAATCAAGCTAGTGCAGGGCATACCTGTATAATTCTCTGCTTCGGATAGATTGTTCCGTGCTGATGTAATACACTAACTTGTCTGATTGGCTGTAGGCAACGATGGACGTGACCTCCCAGGTACCTTGGGTCAGAAAGGTCACTCTACCTGGGGATTCCTGCAGGTCAGCAGACAAAACACAAGAATCAAAATTCAGCACTACTGTCAAAAGGAACATATGTTGACAGCTTTAATGCCAGAATGAAAAAAAAATTCCTGCGCCTAATTGGTACGTTTGCAAATGTACAGGTTTTAAAGAGTCTTTTAACACTGCATGCATACCATACTGCAAGGAACAGCTACAAACCACTGAGCTTAGAAACTGGAGTAATTTTTCTGAAATACTGCCTTTGCCATGATGTCAACCTTTAAACCATTTAAATAAATTTTCATCAACTGACATAAATCTGCATGGTTTTCTGCCATGTACTGTGTCAAAGTTTTCTACCGCATGATATGCCGCTTGTCATTTCAGGTCTCGGTTGCCGTACTTGTGTGTAAATAGCCCCTATGAATTAAACAGTACAGTCGACTCTCGTTAGTACAAACTCTGTTAATACAAAATTCTGGTTATAACAAACATAAAGCCTTGGTCCCGACTGTGCATTTATGTGCACAATGAATGGGACTGATGTTCCTCTTAATACAAGTGAATGATATAACAAACAATTTGGCTAGGTCCGAACGAGTTTGTTATAACAAGAGTCGACTGTATTTGTTTTACTCACGTCAGTAGTCACTAGTGCGACATGGTAAAAGTTCCCATGAGCCACTTCCCTCTGAGGTAGGATCCTGACATAGTCAATTGGAGATGATCCCTCCGAAAATTTGGGAGCTCCTCGCTGTTTTAGGAAGAAGGTAAAGAACGGGAACAAAAATTGAATTGAATTAAACTGTCCAGGAAACAACCCAGCTCTAGAGTACATATTGTGCTGACTGAAAAAGGTGAACAAAATTGAAACCAAATTCTAAATAGTGAAAGTACTCAAAGAGATGAAATTAAAATAAGTGTTTTTGAAAAAGTCAGCACAGCAGAGAGACTAACTTGCCAGGTAGTTTACCCACAACATACATGTATTGCTTTGATCATCAGTTCACAATTCAACGCCTACTTCCAGTAAGTATGAGATCTGTCAACCTCTACAGAGCTCTCGAAAGTGGTAATGAAGTGCCTTTCGCTATTCATTTACGGAGTCCACTAACATCAACCAAGCTCATACTCACATCCACGATCCATCCACCAGGTGTTTCATACTCGTAGTTGATCTGACAAGCTCCTGAATCCACACGGCATAGCGTCAGGACGGAGTAGTTCTGTGGGCGGTTCAGCCACGTCACGGCAATTAGATCGTCGTTAACCCAGACTACGTGATGGTAGTAGTAATCCCTGGTGAGGAGGAGACACGGGGAAGGAGGAGAAGTCAAAATGTTATTTTGTGAACAATTCATTTTTATATCAACTGACAGTTGGAGTGAGGGATACCACACTATCCGTGTGAAATAAACTGTTGCTTGTTATAATAAAGACAACTCAGCCGTCAAGCTTTCAATTAATTTCTCCATGCCAAATATTGTTGTTTCTGCACTTGTACCTGACTTGTGATTGATTTGTGATGGAGCTAGCGAGGATTGGTCTGAAATATAAAGTCTGCTATTTTATTCAGGTGCATAAGTCTGATATGTAGTCCTGCATCAAAGTTCATAAGCTGTTTAACACTTACTAGGCCTTTTCACACTAGAGCCTCTCAACCCGGGTTGAATTCAACCCTGGGTGAACCCACTGCCGCCCCGGGTTGAGTTTTGAATTTTCAACCCTGCATTCAACCCCACGTCATTTCGCACTTGTTACGTGCAAATCAAGCTTATCACGCTCAGTTACTACTGTTTTTAACACTGGCGAGACTTTTAAACTAGGTTGAAAATCTCCACCCTGGTCTTGAGCAGAGTTGAGTTCAACCTGGGGTGAAATCAATCTCAGGGTTGACGCAGTGTTGGTGCAGGATCGGGGTAGGATTGGCGCAGTGTTGAACATTTTCAAGTGTGAAACGCCACATGTTTTTCAACCCTGCGTCATTTCTGCATCAACCCTGAGATTTGTCCAGTGTGAAAAGGCCTACTGTGATATGAGACATGGAATTTTTACACCCAAGGGACACGCTTCACTCATAGCAAAGCTGAGGGCTCTATTCTTTTTCAGTTCAAGGATGTAAAAACAGAGTGTGGAATTACACATTTACACATTTCCTCACAAGACCTCATACATCAATCTCAAAGTCATGCAGTATATGTCAAGTAACAACTGAAATGAATCATCATTGTTTTGTTTTAGTTCCTTGTGACCTGACTAGTGATAGTGAGGTGTGATCGACTTGACATCAACTCACTAATAATATAAACCAAATTTCATTCCATTCAGAGTGTTAAATTTCCTACGAAAAATCTTTAAGGAAATTTACCTTTTACTGATGGTGTCTGGCGGCACTAGAGTGACCTGGTTGCCAAGATCTGCAATGCTGGTAACTTGAAGGGAGACAGTTGGGTTCTGGTACCCCGCCTTAGGATAGCTAAACTCTTCCAGCTCGCTATAGCGTAGGTTCTCATACTTAGGGTACCTGGCCTTATCTACATCGGTATCATTGAAGGATGCGTAGACCAGTTTGGTACCGTCTGAGGACCAGTAGATGGCATTATCACGGCTCAGTAGCTCCTCTGTGAGTAACAAATAGAGGGAAAAAACAACAGATGCTTGATGAAGTTTTAAAAAAAGAAAGAAACCTTGATTTTATTTAAACAATAAAGGACTAACTTGGATGAGGAAAGCTCAGCAAGGGTTAGAAAGAATTGTTTTGAATGATAAGAAAATCATATGATTACATTTTTCACTTAAAATGATAAAAAAATCATTTAAAATTGTTTACATAAAGGATGTTTCAAAGATCTCTAAAAAAAGAAGTTGATTTACTAAGTTAAAGAATAAAATTTATATAACATTTAGATGACAGTTGTAATATCAATTTATGTTTTATTCCCCCTTGCAGCAACATTGCTCATACTCCAAATTCAACGATTTAAACCTCAATGAACCATTTAAATAACACCATTCAAAAAACTTATAAACTAGAATACAGTAAATGGAAGACTGTGCCACATACCCTCATAGACCCAGTCAGGGATACCATTAAAGATGGTCCCTTCCTCCCCCGTCTCAGTAATCCTCACTGCTGTATCACCAACCGGTACTTTCTCATCGCCATGTGGAATAGACTCTAAGTAGTACATGTCGTTCTTGTACACGTATATCTGGTTGTGAAAAGTAAAGAAAATTATATGAGCATTTCACATCAACAGATTAGTGCTGGTCTGTATCATTTCACTCTCAGTTTCAAGAAATTCTTTCATGATGTTAAACACTCCGAGCTGGAAGTGAACGTAACTGTTATATGTGAAAAGCTGATTTGCAGTAAAGATGTCAACAAATGTCAAGGGAAGTTGATATTTAAAAGAACAATTATAGAATTTTACATTAAGCTTTGTTCAAATCTAAATTGTGTCTGTGAATTGGCAGTGTTATGTAACCAGTCAGACTACACCAGAAGCATATTCAACCAAAAAAGTCATTAAGATTTTGAAAAGCAACGTGGTGAGATAATTATAAACAACTGATAAATGAGTAACGGCCAATAACTTGCTCATCAATTTCCAATCACAGATTCCATCAAAGCTTTTCAAAATGAAAACCTACAAGACAAAGAAAGATGCCTGTAACTGACAATACATATCACTGATATGAGACAGATGAGATGTTCATATCAACGTACCAATGCAGAGCCACCTGGTACCCACGCAGCATAGCGTAGGTCAACGGTCTCTTTCAATCCAGGAGCAGTCAGACCAACTGAGGACCTGTAGCAAGACACGTGAGCAATCTACTGTTTATAAAACTTTAAAGATTCAAAATTTCATTTTCTTGCTTGTGGAATTATTTCTACTTGAGAGTGCAATTTAAAGGAGAAAGCGACAGAATGGCATCAAATTTTGGGCAAGTATCTGTAAACTCTGAAATCTGAATGTTGGACGCCTGTCACATGAAGACAAAAAAGTGACAAAAATTACCAGACATTTTGAGGCAATACCGTGCTCATGTGCAGGTCACATGCTTACACTCGGTGCTCCTCAAACCAATAGCATGTTGCCCGCTTGCCAAAATGCATGCCTGTCTACCGAATTTAATAATATGCATAACTGTGACAAACTGAGAAGCGTGGTACCAACTAAGCAGAGTTTTCTTTTTGTGGTCACACAGACCCAGATATAACCCGACCAATTCTCCTGACTTACCCGGTCTCAATGTTATACAGCTTGTACTTGGCATAGAAGCTATGTCGATATAGGTCCCTGACACTGCAAGCCAGTAGGATGTGCGTCATGTCAGAGTTGACCCAGAACTTAGTGCCACCTTCCTCATCCTTATACAAAGAATCGACAAAAACAAAGTTAAGTGAAACTTAAATCTGTGTGTCAAGATGTTTCATTCTTCAGAGAGGATATCTATGAACTGTGACATCAGTACAGGGAATAAATGGAAGTTCTTGACAAGCACTAATGAAGGCCTTATTTCATGGTTCTGGTTATGGCGATCTTATGCCGATACTCTTAAGTACAGAATCCTTAGTTATGGGATAATTGCATGCACATGAGCCAAATTTCCTCATTAACCCATGAAATATTCTCATCACTCATTGTCACTAGATCATAGTTTTCTGCTGTAGTAAGATTCTTTGCTAAGAGCTATAACATTTGTGACTAGCTCTCACAAAACCCGATCAAATTTGACAAACACTGTTTTTTAGGTTTAGGCATTGTCAAATTCCTGCGGTTGTCAGCTTCAAAATGATATACGATTGTCATAGGTACCGTGACCCTATCACCCTTGGGAGAAGGATTAAGTGATAAAAGCCGGACAACCCAATTAAGTGATAAACACGCTTATTGAGATGCTTTCTGTATAAATTTCTATACACATTTTGCACTAATCAACCCCCCAAAAAACACACTTCTGCTTGATGGATAATATTCATATTTTGGGAGGTTGTAAATTTATAGTTACTAATTTAGAAAATCTCAAAAATATAAAAATGGTAAAGACCACCCCAAAATGACTTCACGGGCCTTAAGTGCGAAAACAGCTACTGCAATTTTAGGTTTGGTAGGAGCAGATCTCATTTGTGGCCTGAACTTGTACAGGCCTCATGTGGCCTCCATGTGGCCTCACAAAATGTCACACCTGTTGTAAATTGTGGAGTTACAATGCTCTGTCACTAGCACAGTATAAATAAATGCTAAGCTGTGCCCAAATTAGGTGGCTAAGGCTGGCAATTATGAAAGCGGCTGAATCCACTTCTCATATTGACACCTGTGTTACTGCTAGCCATAGTCAATGTTACTACACAATGTGGCTACAACCAGCCATGATGTGCCGCAATATACCACATGACCTGATATAGCTGGTCTAGTTGCAGCCTCTCCCCCAACACTCACCAGAGTTCTATTTGTGAGGAGGACACCAGACTGATCCAGCTGTAGATCCTTCCAGATGATGTTGTTGTAGTTATCCTTGTGCACATATTTACTCCCTGGTCAATAATGAAAAACTTTCATTTCATTTGTATACATTTCCAAAAATCTTGTGGTCTGAATTTTCCTATAAATTAAGACACTGGACAAAATTTGCAAAAGTCGACAACAAAATTGTCAAAATGATTTCTTCGGTTCTAAATAAATAATAGTACCAAGCATCTCGTGAAATCATTGCGCCTAGTATGCTGTCTCTTTCAAGAAAAGAGGAATACATTTTGTGTTATTTTTCGCATTTTTTCATCCAAGTGAATGATGGAAATATGAAGTTTTCAAATACCCATGGTTCTTTCATCCAGGTATACATTTGTGCATTAAGTTTGTTCCAAAGACATGTAAACTGAAGTTTTGTCATGACTGTGATCTTACCAGACAGCCACTGCACGTCATAGTGTTTGGGTTTGAAGGTTTCATTGAAAATGTCATCAAACAGAAATTCCTTGGGTAGATGCCAGTCTTCACCTGCAAACACATTTAACAATGGTAAAAGAAAAACATGAACATACTGATAACAATATAAAGCGAAATTTAATGCAACATCAGCTTTTCAATGTAATGGCTGGATTTGAAAACAAATCTGTTGAGTTTAATTAAAGTTCTTAAAAAAAAATTTAAATTTTTTTTTTAATACTTTTCTTCAGCTACATACCAAAGAACAAACATATGGTTTTGTTTGCTGCAGGCCATTTTGCTTGTTGAAATATATTTTAGCAATTGATTTCTAGTTTTGTTCAAAATTAACAATTAATCATTATGAAAATATTTTTAAAAATTTTCTTAAAACTATTCACAATATGGGATGCACAAAAAAACAGTGCAATACATACACACAAGTGGCAGACCATGCATTTACATGTGTGTTCAATAACCTGTCAATGCAGAAAGCCTTCACTGGTTGACATGGCAACCAATTAATATATAACCATGGAAACATGAATTATGGATTCGGGGGCACAATGCATAATGCGATATGGGAGTGCAACAAAAGGGATTACATGATCACATGCATGGTGCGGATTAGTTCACAATATGGCTGAGATAAATTTTGTTGAGTTAACATTGGTGGAATAAAGAAGGGCAAGATCAAATATAAACCCTGACCATTAGGCCTATGCCTAGTATTCCTGTATAAAGAATGTATACAAGTTTTGTGTATCGTACGTACACAACTAAAATTCTGGCACAGAATCGTATAAAATGAAACAAGAATTCTTCCCCCTTAGGAGTTGAGCTTCCTGAATTCTCCCAAATATGGTATTCTTTGTACTTAAACACATTTGAACATGATGGAATCGATTCGAAAGTACCCCCCTCAATGGTTACCATAATTACACAGAGAGAGTGAGGCGGAACTCATAAATGCAATGCTGCCATATGTTTGTATTGTAAATGGTATCAGTTGGCATATACTTCCAACCAATGTTGAAGTCGAGTCTGAGTCACGAGTAACTTGGGTCAAGTCCGGGTCGAGTCGGACTTGAATCAAATGATTTAGTCACTTGGTTTAAAGGGAATGTTGCTGTAATCTTCAGAAATGGAGTATTTGAACATGAACATGTAACCAATACCAAACAAATTTGGACTGAAAAAAGGTAAATTTGGAGCAGTAGTTGAAATATAGTTAGGTTTTTCCAACGGTGGTCGGCCGACCACCGTTGGAAATGTATACAAAAATACCATTTTCTTGAAAATGACTTCACACCAGGTGCCATAATTTTACAGGATGCTTTAGACTGTCATTTACCAACATCCTAGTAAGGTATTTCTTAAAAACTCGGTAGTTTTATTTTTCGATGTTTGCAAATGTTGTATATTCCGTTTAAGTCCGAGTCCTAGTCATAAATCATGAGATTCAAGTCCGAGTCTGAGTCTCGAGTTACTCGAGTCAAGTCGGAGTCTTTGGCCGATGTGACTCGAGTCGAATCTGAGTGAACAAATTGCAACTTGAGACAGACACAAGATGAGTCCTGAACTCCAGTTCTACAACACTGCTATCAACCATGCATCATGCATGCAGTGTGTCCCACTATTCTCTATGGTCCCATGTATTAAGGGTGCAGGCCAGTAAATAGGCCCAAAATTGCCTACGCTGGCCAAATCACGATGTGTATGCCCTCAAATTCTCTACTATTAGAGCATTATGTGGGCCATGAACTTGAGGGGTTGATAAAAAAAGAAGGATGGAAGCCGTGCACAGGACTGAGAGCTTGTGCTTATGTGAAATTTGCATGAAATTGGGTCCTAAAATTGCTCTATTTTCCAATGGAGCGTAGGCATCACTTTTCAAAATGGCGAATAGCTATGGCGATTGGCTATAGTTTTTTTTATAGGACTAGTTTTAGGGGTGGTTATCTTTGGATAGAAATTTCTCCCAAGAGTCATCAGTTTACCCATATAAATTTGACCAGAAAATGACAGATGATGAAATAGGCTTTAATTCAATGTGTGTCTCAAACACCTTGGAGAGTTGTAAGTATTTTTCCTAATTTGTGGACGTGGGGGGGGGGGGGGGCTAATTATCACTGGGGTCTTTGGCCGTTTATTTACTGGTCTGCAACCGTAGATCTGAAGAGTGGTCACAAAGAGCCATCTAATGTTCATGCACACAGCCCACGGCCAGTTTCAAGTTACAGTTTAAAATTTGCAAAAAAAGACCCTTTTTAATATATCACCTAGATAAGCATTTCTACATTTGAAGTAGTAGATGTACAATGTACGTAGCAGTAGCAAAAGTGTAGTTTGCCTAGAATGTGTGGATGTGTATAACATACAGACCTTTCTTTGCCAACACATAGTTGGCACTTTTGGCCACCCATGGGTTGGCAAACTAGGAAAGGTCAACATCGCAAAAAGATAAAATAGTTATTAATTTTTCCAAACATATCATTGGATTACTGAAAATACAAAATAACCAACAAACACTATTAAAGGGTGAATACAAAATGCCTCTTTCTGACATAATTAAGCTGTGAATATGCACTTTTTGGCAAAATCTGTTGCCCACCACGGCTGCATTTATGCCCTTGAGGCAGCCCATAAAGAAAGGTGTATACCCGGATGCAGCAATAGAATGTGGCACAACCATTCAACTAAAAAACACTGAACTTGTGGGTGCGACACACGTGAAGTTTAACACCTGTAACATGCAACACAAGTGCAAATTCATTGTGGTTCAACAGGAGGGGATAAAGACATGAAACTTGGGGGGGGGGGGAACGTCCAGCTCATAACATTGAGTGATGATGACAGGAAAACTGTCAAAATGAATTTACTAGAATGAACCAGCCTCTATCTAAAGTGCTGTTTACACATCAAAGGCAATCTGCTGCTTTGTAAGAATTACATGTCAATTATCCAGTTTGGTATTTCAACTACACATGTGCACAATGATATGGCTCACGGGTCATTTGGAATAATCCAATGCTCATCGAAGGTGCATGAACACACAGGGAGACAGTGCATGACGCGTGTTAATTACAAGCAGAATGGGGGTCCGCGTAACATTGTGTATCATCACGTCAGCGATTTTACCCCGAATGACCTTTGACGTGGCCTTCGTCATCCAGATTCCAAACTGGCGTATTGTGGCAATTGATAAAATATTAAGTTTTCAAATTTCTCATGGGGGGGGGGGGAATAATGTTTTATTGAAAATAAATGTACCGGTAGGGTTGGACACAGGATATGAAATATATCAGTGTTTGGTTGTTGACTGGACTGGCCATTGAAGGAATTGTGTAAGCCTGCATCTGAATGACATGGCTGCGGCTTACAAATACACACACGCCTATGGCAGCAGCTGAAGTCACTTCCAATAGACATGCATGTTAATACTGTGAGCCGTAGCCAGTAATTCAGATGTAGCCTAACTCTAGAGATTAGATGGTAGCCGTCTCAAAAAGCTCCTCATCAAGTAAATGGGAAAAATAAAAAAAGTCTTATTGGAAGTTTCAAGAGCAAGTTGAATCTTGTAGGTTTTTGAGGCCAACTTGCACGCTCTATTAAGGATTAAAAAGACCAGCCATCATGATACACCGTGTGATGAGACTGTTCTGAGCAAAAGTGCAGATATGACGTCAACCGAGGGTACAAACTAAAATAAACATGCTTGTATGGAAATGAAATAGATATTCACTGATTTCTTTTGCTTGATAAAAACCAAGTGTTGAATAATGTAACAAAAATATCTTTAATAAACTAAGAAAATCATGTTGAATTCTGTGTGGGAATATATATGTACTCCTAAAAATGTGCTCTCAAGACATTTTAAATGAAGACTTTTGGCAAATAAGGCATGCAAAATTATTAGTCATGGGGTAATACAAGTAACCATGCAATGTAAATATGCATGAGCATGTTAATAAGCCGGTCACATGATCATAAATTACATGTACTTATGATGTGCTACTCTTTTGGGAAATTCTTAAATTGAGAACGGAATGTTAAGTTGCACACTATGCTGTAAATGTGGAAACTTTAGAATAGTTGATACTATAAAATGGTTTTGGTGAAGTAAACACTTCTGATTTTGTTTTATTTTGAAAGAATCTTATAACTAATAAAAATTGAGCCCCAACATCAAAGTCATAGCACATCAAAGTCACATGCACTATGTACATGTATTATAAAGAAAACAACAGAACGTGAGAATTGGGACGGAGGAGTCAAAAAAGTTAAAATCGTGGTTACATTTACCCAATCAACAGGAAACTGTAACGATTTTAGTGAAAACAGAGTCAGTGGAATGCTTTCAATTTCATTCTATTTGTTTTCAGCAGTAAACGCTTTTTCTATATTTGGGGTTATTCAGCTTCCTATTCTATTAACAAAAAAGAACGTCACTTGGGGTTGAAAAGAAAATACAACAGGTTTGGAGCTGGAAGAATTTGGAGCAAATGGCAGAAGATGAATTTCATTTTCTATTTGGTACTTACGCAGCCAAAGTTATTGTGGCGACCAGACGAATATCATGAAGCAGGGTCATGGAAACAGCGGAGAAAAGTACAATTTAGAAAGAAATAGCCAATAGGGAAAGAGATGACATATCAAATGACCCGAGAAACCCATAGGGGTTTCTAACGTGGCTCATGATTGGCTCAAGGGTCCACTGAAGCTGCAGAACAGGACCTGTGATTGGATAAAATATACCTAACATGGGCGGAGTCTCACTTCCATCACTTCACTGATTGGACAAAATATTATTACTGCATACCCACCAGTTAAACACATAGTAAATGGACACTTTGCGAACCTGTGTTCCAGTACAATCAAGTGAAATTGTTATAAACAAAAAATTGTTTCATTTTACATAAAAGGTTAGTGAACCATACAATAATATTCACATGTATTAATGCTCTGGTGATATGATACGGATGGATATTATGGGTTGTTAGCATTTGTTAAAACACAATGTCATGTGGACAGTTTTTTACAAATAAAGGCGTGAATGATTTGTGATATTTGCCCCATTTTAGAAAGTTATAAAATTGTAACTGTGGTACCATTCTGTGATAATATTAGAACAATGCCAAAAAAAAAAAAAAAAAAAAAAAAGGCCTTGTGTGATACAATTATTTGTCAAGAACATCAGTTATCCCAATGTCAATCCTACAAATAAAACATTTAGAATACTTAAACAGTTCGCATAGTTTTTTGTAATCTCACATGGAATGGATTTTGTTTTGATGTGAATGAACATGGTATTTTGCTACATGTACATGTACATGAAAGTTAAAAACTTTTCCTCTTCATCCAATGCAACCTTTTCTCTGCTACAATTGAAACCCAGAGTGCTTGGTATACAGTGGATGTAAACATACCTGGCATAACAATGAAGACCGCAATGACAATTAATGAAACAATCAGTAGTATGACCACCAAGGATATCGCGATGCCTCGCCAGTTACGGTTGTCTGACCCTCCCCCAACAAGCTCCTGAAAATCACAAACGAAAAAGAACAAAACAAAAAAAATCTGTAAGTTGAGAGTGACACAATGGAGCCAACATTAAATTATAACTAATTTCTGAAAGTTTGAGCCATGCTTTTCAGGTTATTAGTTAAATGAAGACAAATTGGAAAAATTAGAAAACTACTGTTGAGTGACTTTTTATAGCTTGATTGTAGAAGAGACGGTTGCACGATAACTCAGTGGAAGTATTTGGATGATGTGACCTGAAAAGAAAGAACTAGTCATAAACTCTTCAGGAATTTTTTATTAGAATTTCGAATTCTTTCTGGAAGTAGAGCCTGCGAAGTGGTTTTATCAGACAAAATTGCAGATTGAGATGGTGTTTAAAATATTAATTTTACACAAATCAATGTGAAAATCATTTTGTTAGTGAGACATAATAATGGAAACTTGGTAGACAACAAGGAAAATGTTCAGGATAGAAATTCGGGGGGGGGGGTTATTTGCAGAAAAAAATGAATTTAGAGATGAAAAACAAGATAGACAACTGATACAGATGAGGGGAGTTTAGGTTTTAGATCTACATGTAGGACTTCATCAAATAGGGTTATTGGTTATGAGAGGGTGGGCAGAGGAGTAGGATAAAGACAAGCAATCACACAGAATCCAAATAGATTCAGGATTTTAACCAGAAACCAACTTGAGAATGAGGGAAAACGAAGGAAGGTTACAAAACATTTGGATGTGGTAAGCAGGAAATTTGCATTCTAAGTGGATGAAGCATTTATTAATGTTTCATCAAAGTAAAGTCCTTCAATCCCACTCAAAAAAAAAACTAAAACTTGCCAAACTGTCAACTCATTAAAAAAAAACCAAGAATGTGCTCATCTTTAATTTATATTTTGTTGTGGGCACTGTGAAGAATTGATATGAGACACACCAATTTTTAGCCAGCAGTCTTAACGCATGTACAACTTTAGTAGATGTAGGGCTAGGAACAGACTGACACTTGAGATATGCAACCATAAGCAATTAAGGCAAGATGGTAAAAACGTATTAACTATCATATCTACTTTTTAGTATTAGATTAAGCTCATTAATGCAGATGTCACCAATCAGTTAGGGTATACAGGTATAACACATAACACAAATAATCATTTTACACAAAAAAACATGCTGTCCAAAACTGTACAATAAAATTATGTTATTTAGCTGACCAGTTCTTTTATATGACACTGTGTGAACAGATATAGACAAAACACTGGGAAATAAATAGTAATTTTAAAATAGTAAAAAAATTAATAGTAGACGGAACGCGCTTTGCTTGATTTCAGTATTAGGCAGTGTCTGAAGTACATTGGTATGGCTACGGCTTGAAGTAACACATGTGTCTATGGGAAGTGGCTTCATCCACTTCCATAGGCTATGGGAAGTGGCTTCATCCACTTCCATACTAGGCTATGACTAGCAGTACAATTCATATGTGTTTATCTTCCATAGGAATATGTGTAACAAGCCACTGTCAATGTACATATGTAGCCTAGACCACTACCAGTATTTGCATATTGAATTATGTATGAATATCCTCCATGTCAAGATGGTATACAAACAAGCAGAGGGCCATTAATTTCTGTGTCATCCCTGGCCAGCCCATCAACAGCTCAAATGACCTTTATCGATAATTACTATGCATATCATACAACCCTTCCAAGGGCAATGGGCATGGATACAAGCAGAACAATACTTCCATTAGCCAACACGCTGATGGGAAAATGCCTGGTATTTAACTAGTCGTGGTAGTGTACATGTAATTCACAAATCAGTATGGTGTACAATACATGCCACTGCTTGCTATATTTAATACAATACCAAATAATTGTCACTCAACCCAGCAAAATGAATCAGATATTGCCAGATTCTTACAAATCTTGCAAAATGGAAACCCGGAGGAACACACAACATTATCAGACTGAAACAAAACACCTCATACATATGTATGTAAATAACATCCTTAAAGGTGATATACGACATCTGTGAAGATCAAAAAACAAAACTACCAATTATTATGAAACATATATCTTACTTGACTTTAACTTAATAGTGAATAACAGCTTCAGGCACCCTGTGAAATCATGGCACCTGGTGTGTGCTGTCATTTTCTAGAAAAGTGGAATTCTTGTATCAATTTCCAATGATGGTCGACCAACTATCATTGGAAAAAAACTGACTTTTTTTCAAATACTGCCCCAATTTTACCAAATGTCTGGAAAGAGTATGTACTACACTACATAATATTGCAAAGTCAATATTTCTTTCTTCTTTTGTGACACTTTTCAACAAGACAAATTGATTCATGACCCATTGGGCTTGGTCTGATAATTAATGTACATGTCCTTCATAGCAAGGCCGTAGGTTCATTCAATTAGACAGCTTTCTTAATTAAACACAGCTTCACACGCACATGCTGATTAGTCTCAGAACATGTGCACACAAACAACTTGTCTTAATTGGATTTTCCTGGAAAATGTTAAGTTGACTCCAAGCAATTTGTATGTGCAAAACGTAATACGTAAAGTGATGTAAGAGTATGAAAACAGAAGAAAACAGAAGAAAACAGAAGAAAAAGAAGAACAGGTCAATGAACGGTACAAGAATGAACAGAATAAATACAAGCTCAGTTTCAAGCTAGTAAGCAGGCATTCTTGTCAACCGGCCAACTTCAGCCAGCCGGCCAGTCAGCAAATCCTAGGCTAATTAATTACTAGTTCATGTTTGTTCAGCGTCTTCCATAGACGCATTTGTACAAACCTAACCCAGGTTTGGAAGGACTCAGATTGGAAGGACTAAGACTCGGATGTTGTACTAGTTCAGCAAGCCAACTAGCTAGCCAATCAACTTGCCCGTCATCTTGCATTGCCTTTAAACCATTCAGCCAGCCAACATGTCCAGCAAGCTAGCCATAACATAAAACCATTCAACGATAATAGCGTGTAGCCTCTAATCCTGAAGACAGTCAACAAGTATGCTAAGCTTTAATTCAATCTCGCCAAAAGGCAAAATATCCAGTACCAACTATTGCATCAGAAGTACGGTTTCAATCTGCACACGTTTTGTAAAGATGAAGTTTCCAATTGTCCTCCACTGTACAAGTATTTGTAGCAATTCTCAAACTTAATTTGCATGTCATGAAACAATTATCATATTTCCAAATTACATCCAGGTATTTTTTAGTGTAACATACATGTATATGTTCCTCCCCGCCACCTCTGGAGAAAAAAAAGACTGAATCTGAATAAGAAATGGTTTGAATGCGAGACTGATTTGTATCACACATGGGTGGCAGGTACTGCTAAATGCCAACCTCACAGGCAAATGGACAATTTCATCAAAAATTCATGATTCAATTACGACAAATGGGAGTAAGGACAGAAGTGCCCCTCCGCGGGTCATTAACATAAATCCACAGCAATCCCAAAGCATTGGAATCACTCCACAATACACGGTGTTTCCAACATCAATAATTTTTATTTAACCATGCAGTTGCACTTGCATAAAAGGTGCTTGTGGCTAGTTTTTTGATCAATTATTTTAAGTTTAGAAATGACAATTTTCAAAATAAAGATTGTGGAAGTGTTTTTCAGAAGTCAATTCTTTGTATAATGCACATATGTAAATTCCTATTTTATTCTTGCTGATAGAATACTTTACTTTTGTCAAATTCAAATGAACTACAACTGAGAAAACATTGAATAAATAAATTAACTAAATCGATCAAAGGTCCAAGAAATTAAAACAAACCCAACCAAGCCAAAGCAATAAGAAGCATTCTATCTAGAGCTGTTCAACGGTAATATAATAACCATTCACTTTTTCTGCACAAACCACAGTCCTCTCCAAAAAAATATATAATCTGAATAAATCTTGTTTTTCTATCCATCCACACAGATCAATCCATGGTTTTGCCTCCCTCAAGAAATCTATAATTACTGGACAATGTCCGGTGTTAGAGTGGACAACTTGAGACCAACACGCATCGTGCCGACTTGCAATCAATGCAAAGTGATGACGTAAATGGCTGCATCGATTCATTTACCCTCCACTAAATCCCTTCCATTTACGATGTTACGTATCGGTCAATTTGGTTGAGTGAATTTGATGTGTCTGTGTTGTGTAAAATGAAATAAAAAATACTGGTAAGACACACACCCACTGTGATGGCTTTCCTTCTACATCCTCTGAGAATCTCTGTTTACATATCTAGCATCTTGGTTGTTTCCTCTTACTTCTTGATTTTCATAAAGTATTTTAAACTTACCACAGTATCTGTATCGGGAAAACATGGAAAAAATCCATGTTGATTTTAAAAACAAGAAACATGCGGTAAAACAAATCCAAACACTGCAGATAAAGTAGTTTACTAACAATGCCAGTTACTACACCAATTTTTACAATGCAAGTAAACTGAGTACATAAGCACTGCACAATTAAAGATGAGCCAAATCTCATAGCTCTGGTATACAAAATTGTTACTCGAGCATCTGGAAGAATTTGAAGTCTATTTGAGAGCATTCAGCATTCACATTAAAATAGCCAACAACTAATGATAAAAAACCACTTGCCCCAGGTAAAACTTTAATGCAGTCTAAGTACTCTAGCTTTTAGGTAAAAGCAAATTTCTGGTACTTAAAGAGCATTTCCAACAAAACTCTTCACCACTTGAATTTCAAGAGAAGCAAACAGCCAAGATTCTTCCCAACAATGGAGTCCAACACCAGGTCCAATCCTACCTCAATCTGCTGGGCCGATGTGACTTTGGGAGGCTGTTCCTTTCCATCTTCACGCTGGTTAACCGCCGCTGCAAACATTGCACAAAAGCAGTAACGTCCGGATCCCGCGATGGGCAAAACAACAGGCACCCACCCTCACAAGACCACCTGAGAAACACGCTGAATAATCCAGAGCCCCATTCTCCCCGCTACCAACTCCACACGCTGTCTGCAGACTACTGGCCTGGAAGTTAACAG